GATAAATCTAAAATCGACGAAATTGTCCTTGTCGGAGGTTCAACAAGAATACCTAGAATCCAAAAACTTTTACAAGATTTTATGAACGGTAAAGAACTAAACAAGTCCATCAACCCCGATGAAGCAGTAGCTTACGGTGCCGCTGTCCAGGCCGCCATTTTAACAGGAGACAGAAGTGACGCCATTAAAGACGTTTTATTGGTGGACGTAGCCCCGTTATCTCTGGGTATAGAAACTGCTGGTGGAGTAATGACCAAACTGATAGAAAGAAATACTCGAATTCCAACCAAAACATCGCAGATATTCACAACATACGCTGATAATCAACCTGGAGTGGATATTCAAGTCTATGAAGGAGAACGAGTGATGACCAAAGACAATAATTTAATGGGAAGTTTCGAGTTATCTGGAATACCGCCAGCACCAAGGGGCGTTCCTCAGATTGAAGTTGGTTTTGATATTGATGCTAATGGTATTCTCAACGTATCTGCTAAAGATAAAAGTACTGGTAATAGTAAAAATATCACCATCACCAACAATAAAGGACGTTTGAGCGGTGAAGAAATTGACAGATTGGTCAAGGAGGCCGAAAAATTCAAAGAAGAGGATGAAAAACAGAAAGCTAAAATTGATGCCAGAAATCATCTGGAATCGTATGTGTATAGTGTGAAACAGGCTGTAGATGACGCCGGTGATAAAATAGTTGATAGTGATAAAGAAACTGTAAAGAAAAGTTGTGATGACGCCATGAAGTGGTTAGATAATAATTCTCTAGCAGATAAAGAAGAATATGACCATAAATTAGAAGAACTACAGAAAATAGCATCTCCTATAATGACTAAACTTCATTCTGGTGGTCAAAATGGTGGACCAAGTGGCCCCTCTTCTTCATCTGGTAACCAAGGACCTACAGTAGAGGAAGTTGACTAAAAGATCTAGATGTAACTAGGATGTGATAAATGTGATGAATGTATATATGTAAATAGAACGAATGGTTGTGCAGTAATTTTTGTATTATTGTTTAGATTATTTATATTTTGTATATAATGTATATTAGTGAAAATGAGTCTTTCAAGTGTAAGGATAAGGATATTTACGGGTCAAAATATTTTGTATATTGTTAGGTATGACCTGTTACAAAGTATACAGAATATCCAAAAAAACTATATTCCTTTCGTGTTTTAAAATTTTTATTTTGTTATCTATTATAAAACTTTATTTAAATTTTGTATTTTTATTTTGTTATCTGTATGAAATAAACAGAATATAAAAGTTATACATGTTTTGTGATTTTCTTTCCATCTTGAATGAAAACAAAGAGAGAAATGGGATTTAACATCCACTCGACACAAACTAGGTCATTTCCGGACCAACATATGGTTCAATTTTATTTCAATAATTCGCTTGCTTGTAGGGGTCTTTAGCAGTGGGAGGAAACCGGAGGACCTGGAGAAAACCCACGAAATTAGACAGGCGACCCTACTTTTTGTCACGTACAACCGGGGAATCAAACACGCCAGTTGATTCAATGGCGGACCTTAGGATACAACGCGCATGCGCTAACCATTCGGCTAATTAGGGAAATCTCATTTCAAATCCCAACTGCCAAGGGATCTTTTACGTGGACGCCAACGTGTACATGGGACCTTGGTTTTTAGTCCCATCAAACAACTAGACAATGTCCTGCACCCGATAAATCATTCATTCTTCAAAATTAGCTACTTTAACGTCCCAGCCAATGTTTAGAATTTTTCTTGAAAAAATGAACTTTGTGTCTAACCAAAGCATTACAGTCAAGCGAAATATAGCCAGTATCAGGGCCGGCGGAAGCAATTCTTGATTTGGGGGGGCTACCATCCCAGGTTGTTAGGCGAGGGTCCAGGGGCCGCCTAGGCCCCGGAAGCTCTTGGGGGTCTAGATCGTCGGAGATGCTTTCTGAGCGATTTCTGGCTAATAAAACTACTCAGCAATGAAGTGAAATTGTATGCCTTTTTTTTTTAACTTCCTTACCATACAAACACAGTCGATGCTGAACTTGACAAAAAATGCATAAAAATACCAAGGTTGTGGACACCCTAGACGTCACAAGTTTTATCTGATTTTGATGAAACTTACAATGTATGTTTATTACCGAAAGATCTCGGTTCCTTGCGATATTGGCGCATAAAGGACCGCTACTTCCTGGATCAATGCCCCTGTTTGTACGAACAATGGCATTTTAGTGTGTGGACCCTGTAGAAGAAACAGTTTTTATTTGATTGTAAAAACCGTTAGACGAGACTTGAAATATAGGTCTATCTCCGAAAGATCTCGGTTTTGTTACTTCCGATATTGGCATAAATCGGACCTCTGATTGTACGAAAAATCACGTTTTTAGCTTACGAAACTCTAGAGGTTACAATTTTCATCCTTTCCATATTCGCGCATATCCGATTGTAACTTCCTGGATTATAGCCCCTGGCTGTACGAAAAACGCGTTTTAGCTCGTGTCGGTTACAATTTTTACCCGATTTATCCGTTGGAATATATCACTGTTATACCATAATTACGGTTCATTTCACATTTCCTGAAAATCGGATAGAGCTGCCCAACTAAACGCATGTAATACCCAAGTTAGATCTAAATCAAGGTCACCTACAGATTTCACCAAGGTCACGAGATGTAAAATTGTAAACAGGGATAGCACCAATCTTAACCCGAGATCTAGCCCTTTCCCTAACCCTTGGCAACAATCACGGATAGTTACATACTGTTTAAATGGCTACACATACATTTTATAAATAAATATTTGAGAAAAGCTTCAGAAATACGACATTTTACATACGACATTTTGACGTGACGGTTTTATAAGACATTTTGATTCATAACCTCTTGGCTAGTTTTGGCTCTCCTGGACAATTTCGCAAAATCCAGATACGACCTTTTGATCCCCCATCGACAATATGCCATTCAGAGTGCTACGAGGGACATTTTGTTCGAATATCTAGGTTACCGCATACTCTTCAGCTGTTAATGGTTCTTTTACGTGCACGCCAACGTGTAGCCTACGCATCGGGCCTCCTGCGAGAGACAAGGTGGAATCATGCTGGTAAATGTTCTCTAACCCCGGACCTTGTTATTCAGCGTTTTATAAACTTACTGACCAAGAATACACACTAAATATATTTCAAAATATTTGACACAAGAGCAATCTTCAAATTGTCCAATCTGATTAAAACACGGATCCTATTTCGTTTCGTTTTTTATAGTTCAAAATTTCGTTTTACTTGTCTTCACAACACTAGGATCTGGAAGAGTTGTTATATAGCAGGCGTTCTAGTTGATGTGAGGAATTAGCCAATGAATCGGTCTGTTATGGCGAGTTCTTGGCGTGTTCTGAACGAAACTTTGGGTAAAACCCTAGAAACGTCAACGCTGGTTGATTAATCAATGTCTGGCGTCATAGGGTCAAAAGCCACTCGTAAGACACCTGATGCGACCTTCCGGTACAACTGGTCAGATCTTCATGTTATAGTGTAGGCTATCGAAAGTATAAAAAAACGAAACGAAATATAGATCTGTGTTTTAATCAGATTGCAAAGTGTCATAACTTATGCGTGGATTGCTCGATTTGAATAACGGTTATTTGCATCATACATAATTTTAAACACGACTTGAATTCCATTTTCTGTTCCAGTGTCCCAGATACGAAAACTTGCGCTTGAAATATATCTACCCTACTTTAATACAATCTTGTCAATTAACTTTTGGGCTTCTCTTAATCCGCCAGATTTTCTCGCTAAATCAGTAGCAATGTATAATGTATAAATATGATACTTTTAAGGAAAGGGGAGCACCTGCCTAGTCTATTTTTCTGCTGCATGTTCTTACTCCACATTTGATCATTATACATGTATGTACGAGGTTATACTTCATATTTTCATTTCATTGTTATACTTTCATTGCTATATTTTCATTGTATCATCCCAATGGTACATGTATATATATCTCATTATATTTTCATTTCATTATATCATGTTATTCCATGTAAAATATATTTTTGTATACATGTATATTGATGTACGCGTATGTTTTGTATACTGTTCTTAATGGACGTAATATGCAAATAAAAAAGTTGAAGTGTTGTGAACGGATGGGCTGTATAAAAAGGCCGTTGTATTTATCTTAATTTTGACATATTCTTGAATAAATAGTCACAGTGTCCCGAATTGCTAAAGCAAAATAATTTGACAAAAATCGTCAGAAAATAGGTTTTTTTTTTGTTTTTTTTTTATTTTAGCTGGAATATTATGTTTCTCTACTGATCGGGGGAGGGGGGGGGGATTACTAGTCCGCAGGTGCACCGCTATAAAAATACCATAATTATGGGTATATAAAAAACCCCTAAAACCCCAGCATGTATGCCATGATTGCTATCATGTCGTTATGTCGTTGTGTCGCTCTTCATACTGAAGGCGACAACCCGACATTTTAACCCGACAATACATTTTTACCCGACACCACGACATTAAAAATTGTCGGGGTTGGTGTATTACATTTCATTGTCGGTCGGGGTTGGTGCCATTTCATTGTCAGTGCGTTAGTAGGCCTATTATTGTCAGAGTTCGTTATGGGTGTGCATTAGCCTACATGTCAACATCAATTGTAAAAATGGCAATAATAGATATTGGGGGACTAGTGCATCCACGGACTAGTGAGCATTCCCCCTACTGATATCATTCCCTAACCATCACAACAATTCGATAACATTCGAGAGACTTCTTCCTTTCTTTCTTACAGCCCGTGCAAATTTCTAATAAAATACAGAATAGTCGCGAAAGCACGAGTTACTTCCCTTGGTGGGTATTCCCCTAAATAATAACCGATGAAATACGAGATCTGCATAAAATGAACCAATCAGCTGTCATGTAAACATGAACTCCACGCGATGTTTCTCGATTGATCTTGACTGTTCTGGGTGATTAAAATAATATATAAAGCCCCAAAGCAACACAGTTTAGTCAGATAATATAAAACTGTACTAAGAGAACGTTGACGAGAATATATAACGAGAAACGATTTAAACGTTTACGTGAAAACTAGCCACAAACTTCAAGAAGAGAAACTACGTTGAAAAGCAGACGAAAAATAGCAGACGAAAAACAAGAATTTGTGAAGACAAGTGTTAACATTACAAGCGATTTTGATAAACTTCGAAACACCAGAACAAATATGGCAAGTAAACTTAAAGGACCAGCCATTGGTATCGATTTAGGTACAACCTATTCATGTGTTGGTGTCTTTCAACACGGAGCAGTAGAAATCATCGCCAACGACCAGGGAAACAGAACAACACCAAGTTATGTAGCCTTTACAGATTCAGAGAGATTGATTGGCGACGCCGCTAAAAATCAGGTCGCATTAAATCCGCAAAACACCATCTTCGACGCCAAAAGATTAATTGGACGAAAGTTTGATGATTCCACAGTTCAAAATGACATCAAACATTGGCCATTCAAGGTGATCAAAACTGGTGACAAACCAAAATTACAGGTGGAATACAAAAATGAATTGAAAACATTTTCACCTGAAGAAATAAGTTCTATGGTGTTGACAAAGATGAAGGAAACTGCTGAATCTTATCTAGGACAGAAAGTTACAGATGCTGTTATAACGGTACCAGCTTATTTTAATGACGGTCAGAGACAAGCTACTAAAGATGCCGGTGTTATTGCTGGATTAAACGTTTTGAGAATCATCAACGAACCAACAGCAGCTGCCCTAGCCTACGGTTTGGATAAAAACATAACTGGTGAAAAACATGTTCTTATTTTTGACCTGGGTGGAGGAACTTTTGACGTATCAATCCTGACAATCGAAGATGGTATGTTTGAAGTTTTATCCACGGCTGGTGATACACATTTAGGAGGAGAAGATTTCGATAATCGTCTTGTCAGTCATTTTATTCAAGAATTTAAACGAAAACACGGTAAGGACATTTCTAATAATTCCAGATCTTTACGTCGACTTCGAACCTGTTGTGAACGAGCTAAGAGAACTTTATCAAATAGTGCTGAAGCTACGATAGAGATCGATGCCTTGTTCGAAGGTGTTGATTTCTATTCGAAAATTACCAAGGCCAGATTTGAAGAAATATGTTCCGATTTATTCCGAAGCACAATGGCTCCCGTGGAAAAGGCTCTTCGAGATGCCAAGTTGGATAAATCTAAAATCGACGAAATTGTCCTTGTCGGAGGTTCAACAAGAATACCTAGAATCCAAAAACTTTTACAAGATTTTATGAATGGTAAAGAACTGAATAAATCCATCAACCCCGATGAAGCAGTAGCTTACGGTGCCGCTGTCCAGGCCGCCATTTTAACAGGAGACAGAAGTGACGCCATTAAAGACGTTTTATTGGTGGATGTAGCCCCGTTATCTCTGGGTATAGAAACTGCTGGTGGGGTAATGACCAAACTGATAGAAAGAAATACTCGAATTCCAACCAAAACATCGCAGATATTCACAACTTACGTTGATAATCAACCTGGAGTGGATATTCAAGTCTATGAAGGAGAACGAGTGATGACCAAAGACAATAATTTAATGGGAAGTTTCGAGTTATCTGGAATACCGCCAGCACCAAGGGGAGTTCCTCAGATTGAAGTTGGTTTTGATATTGATGCTAATGGTATTCTCAACGTATCTGCTAAAGATAAAAGTACTGGTAATAGTAAAAATATTACCATCACCAACAATAAGGGACGTCTGAGTGGTGAAGAAATTGACCGATTGGTTAAAGAGGCCGAAAAATTCAAAGAAGAGGATGAAAAACAGAAAGCTAAAATTGATGCCAGAAATCATCTGGAATCGTATGTGTATAGTGTGAAACAGGCTGTAGATGACGCGGGTGATAAAATAGTTGATAGTGATAAAGAAACTGTAAAGAAAAGTTGTGATGACGCCATGAAGTGGTTAGATAATAATTCTCTAGCAGATAAAGAAGAATATGACCATAAATTAGAAGAACTACAGAAAATAGCATCTCCTATAATGACTAAACTTCATTCTGGTGGTCAAAATGGTGGATCAAGTGGACCCTCTTCTTCATCTGGTAACCAAGGACCTACAGTAGAGGAAGTTGACTAAAGATCTAGATGTAACTAGGATGTGATAAATGTGTTGAATGTATTTAAATAGAATGGTTGTGCAGTTAATTCAACATAATGTTTGTATATTTTAGATTTTTTACATTTTGTATATAATGTATATTAGTGAAAATGAGTCTTTCAAGTGTAAGGATATTTACGGGTTAAAATATTTTGTATATTGTTAGGTATGACCTCTTACAAAGTATACAGAATATCCAAAAAAACTGTATTCATTTCGTGTTTTATAATTTTTATTTTGTTATCTATTATAAAACTTTATTTAAATTTTGTATTTTTATTTTGTTATCTGTATGAAATAAACAGAATATAAAACTTTATACATGTTTTGTGATTTTTTTCCGTCTTGAATGAAAACAAAGAGAGAGAGAGAGAAATGGGGTTAACATCCACTCGACACAAACTAGGTCATTTCGGGACTAACATATGGTTCAATTTTATTTCAATTATTTGCTTGCGTGTAGGGGTCTTTAGCAGTAGCAGGATCCGGAGAAAACCCAAAAGGTTTGACAGGCGACCCTACTCCTTGACACCGGGGAATCGAAACCACGTAAGTTGACTCAATGAAAGACCTAATGATGAAAAGGTTTATTGACATTTATTCAAGTACACAGCACCTATTTTACATATATATTACATATGTGTAGGATTTTTCTCATAACAAAACAAAAAAATAATATTCAAATAACAAACATGAAACAAAACAAGGGTGCTTGGTAAGAGAGAATCTAATTAAAACACAGATCCTATTTCGTTTTCGTATTTTTATAGTTCAAAATTTCGTTTTCCTTGTCTTTACTACACTAGGATCTGGAAGAGTTGTTATATAACCCTCGTTCTGGATGATGTGAGAGATTAGCCAATGAATTGGTCTGTTATGGCGAGTTTTTGACGTAAGGTGTACGGAACTGTGGGTAACCCACTAGAAACGGCAATGTCGATTGATTAAACGTGCATTATGCAAGAGCTAAATCTGATTATTGCAAGTATTAATTTAGGCTTCAGATGTTATAGAAATTATAAATTAGATCTTTATTTAAACAACAAGACCAAAATCAACTCTGTTGACCCACGGATGGCTCGACTACAGCTCGGATTTAAATAGGATTTCACTAATTGATTAAATCAAATAAGGGGTAACCTGATGAAAATACGTCAGTTAGATCGAGGCTAAATGATAGAGTGTACTTAGCGAGGCCGCTGTAAAGCGTTTCCGTATGCCATTGGAAACTTAACTTGATAATCGAGATATGTAGGTGGAGTTAACACCTGACAATCAAACGATCGGCGAAGGTGAAGACACATTTCGCTACCATTTCTAGGCAAATATTACAATGATGATAACTATGTTCAGAATAAAGTAATTTGACTGAATTTTTCAATATATTCTTCTTTCATCATCTAGTTTTGAACTGTTATAGCAAGAATGGCCAACTCTCTATAAAAAATCTCCCATAATGTATCTTTAATCAAATGTCCGACATCATAGGGTCAAAAGCCAATCATGAGCTCCCACTACAACCGGTCAGATCTACATACATGTAGTAGAGGCCATTGAAAGAATAAAAAAAACGAAACGAAATATAGATGTGTATTTTAATCAGATTGCGATTACCCCAAATTGCCAAATTATCTCCAGGTACTATTTGTCCGAATGATCACATGTTTTTATTCAACTTTGTACAGCCACAAAGAATGAAACAAAATGTAGATTTGTATTATAATCAGACTGGGCAGGAGAGACACAATTTTATTTTCCATTCCATTTTTTTTTTTTTTAGTTTTGTTTCTGACTTGAATCTCAAGATTAGTAGAATGGAACAGTGGTAAATAATTCATTTACAGACAAACAAAATACCAATTTATATCAATCATAATCAAATCAATACTCTACAAAATATTATTTCTCATTTCAAAATCTTTACAGAATTATTAATAATTCGTTTGTAGATTTTTACATTAAACAATAAGAAGCAAATGTGCAAAAAATTATTGTTCATTTTTGTATCCATAAAGAATTGGTCATGATTTTATATTGAATCAATCTGGTTACAACACAGATCCTTGGTTTTAGTTTTTTTATAGTTCAAAATTTCGTTTTACTTGTATTTACTACACTTGGATATGGAAGACTTGTTATTTAACTCGTGTTCTGCTTGAAATGAGGGGTCAGCCAATCAAATGGTCTGTCGAATCGAGTGTTTGACCTTTTTTGCCCGGAACTGTGGGTAATCCACTAGTAACATCAAGGCTGATTGGTTAATCAAATGTCTGACGTCATAGGTCGAAAGTCGGTCTTTTGACCCCTGACGTGACCTATCGCTATAACTTGTCAGATGTTCATGTAGTGTAGGCCATCGAAAGTATAAAAAAACGAAAAGAAATATAGATCTGTATTGTAATCAGATTGATCGAGAATAACACACTTCCTAGTTTATTTCTTTAGTTAAAGAGACGTTTTCTTGGAACACCATGTTTTACGTTGACTTTCACATAATTTAACGTCCAACATTCCACCACACAGCTCATACAAGTCATAGTCACTTGTCTACGACTAAATATAAACGCTCGTCCTTTCAAACAAATAGTTTTCATTGTGAAGAGTCTTTAAACATTATGCTCGGTTCTGAATTCAATTCTCTCAATCTTACAAAGATAATGGAGTATTCACGATAATATAAGGTATAAAAGCATAGGATATCTATACCAAAATACACAGCTAATGTGTTCACCTTGTTTCATAATGTCTTCATTCTATTGGTACCACACTATAACAACAGTAACAGACAGCAGGGGCCTGTCACTCAATTGTAAATTTGTCCAATAGATTTTGTAAAGTCCACAATGTTTTTATGAATGAAACGGTTGAATAACAGCCTTTCTTTTCACCTCTTCTCTGGGTTAGTACTAAAAGATAAGGCCAACTCAATTTTTCATCATAGGTCACGAGATGTAAACATGACCTAGCCCCAATGCTTATCCTATCCGTAACATACAATCTCGCCAACAATCACGTGCCCTAACCTTATTTACATCTCAGGGACCTTGACAAAAATTGAGCTGGCCTTAACAAATAGATTTAGTCCTCTTCTCTCTGTTTACAATAAGGGAGATAACTAATGATCAATTACTTGAATCCATCTCTATTTCTTCTATAGCCATGTCTGAGTTATTGAGATCAGTTGATTGACTGGTTGTATCAGCAGGTGGAACTGGCGACATTGTATCACTAAATACATCCAGCTGTAAAATAAACATTTGCATGATGAGATGGATAGGGAGAGAGAGCGAGATGAGAGATGGGGTTTAACGTCCACTTGACACAAACTAGGTCATTTTGGGACTAACATCTGGTTCAATTTTCTTTCAATAATTCGCTTGCGTGTAGGGGGTCTTTAGCAGTGGGAGGAAATTGAAGGATCTGGAGAAAACCCACAAGGTTGGACAGGCGACCCTACTCCTTATCACGTACAACCGCGGAATCGAAACCACGCCAGTTCACTCAATGACAGACCTTATGATACAGCACGCACATGCTAACCATTCGGCCATCCAACCCCCCGAGATGGACAGAGAACAAGCTAATAAAACATACAATACGAGGCTATCATCCAGGATGTTATGGTCCAACATGCATCAATATCAAAAGCAACAGAGATCTTTGGGATAAAAACATATATTTTAAGTTTCATCAAAATTGGATAGAAATTGAGACTAGTTTTTGGATATAAACCTATATGTCAAGTTTCGACAAAATCAGATAAAAATTGTGACCTCTAGGTAGAGTGTCCAGAAATAAAATGTGAACGGACGGACTGACACATACGACGACAATATATGTCCATGTGAAAATGTCGGAGTATAAATATGCAAGATGCATTGCCTTTAATTAGTAGGCATATAAATATAAAATTTATTTGACGTTAATCTAATTTAAACATACATTATGTAAGAGCTAAATCTGCATATGATCAACTGTTCATCGAATTGCCAAGATTTAAATAGATTTAAACATCCACGAGATTTGAAATCGAGGCTAAGTATCGACTGTCAAGTACCATTGCTACGATAAGGAACAATCTATATTACATCTTTAAACAGTCATAACTTCATTCAGAATAAAAAGTAATTTGATTGAAATTTTCCATATACTTAAACATGCATTATGCAAGAGCTAAATCTGCCTATTTCAGGTCTTTCTTTAGGCCTGAAATGTTATCTAAACATTAATTAACCTATCCAGGCCATAATCAACTCTAGATGGCTGCGCTAGCCTGCGATCTTTAGTGGATTGTAAGCTGATTTACTGCAAAACTTCCCTTCTCTATTAAACAATTAAATGGATAATCGAGACTACGCTGTTTATCGTGCTGACTTTAGTAATGATGACCGAGGCTTATGGGAATTTCAGTCGCTTAGTTCTCGGTTCATAGTGGATCAATTTGAATGAAATTTTCACCAAATTGGCTTCTTCATTATCTAGTTTTTAACTATTATTGTGAGAACTGCCAACTCGTTACCGAATCTCCCATAATGTATCTTTAATTGTCTATTATTGAACTATTATAGCAAGAATGACTAGCTCTTTATCTAAATCTTACATAATGTATCTTTAATATATTTCTCACCTTTGTTGTTGGAGCAGGTGTAATAAATTTAGGAGTAGGGGGAGGGAACTCAGGAACTTCATCATCATCACCTAGAAAATATAGAAAAGCATTTAATGTATAAATTTCAAATGGTTGGTTGCCTGGTAACAAAACATATCCATGGGGTGTAACGTTCAATTGACACAAACCAGGTCATTTCTGGCCTAACATTTTATGTTGAAGCAGGGAATCATATCCACGCCACTAGACTCAATGACAGACTGTACAAACAGTCCATAATGGTTGTCACAAATCTAAAAGGGCAACAACTAATGAATAATTATTTAGCTGTTATATGAAATGAAATGAAATGGGGTTTAACGTCCTACTCTTCTGCACCTTACCTGGGCTAATTGAAGACGGGCATACGCCATACAGTGTGCTATGAGGGAAATTTTGCCCAGGCAGCGGCGCTACGGCCTACTCTTATATCGAATTCCAACTGCCAAGGGATCTTTTACGTGCACGCCAATGTGTACACGGGACCTCGGTTTTTCGTCCCATCCGAACGACTAGGCAGCTGTCCTTGTCAGGCCCTCCGTTCTGCATCACTGACAAGGGGAAACCACGCCGGAAAATCGAGATGAACTTTCTCGGCCAATGCAGGGATCGAACACCCGACCTCCAGGCTAGCGAGCCAGCGCCTTACCCACTTAGCCACGTGATCCCCCATTTAGCTGTTATAGTTATCATTGAAAATCAAATAGTTACTGCCATAGTTAAGTGTCGATGGGTCATGGATTAACTCTATTATTTATGTACCTAGATTCGGAACTGTTTCTAACATAAGAGCTTCCATCACATTCGATAACATTGTTGTCGAGAAAGCGTCATCTCTTCGAATACCAAGAGCCTGAAAATTTATAAAGAAAACTAATGTTTTTTATGATTCTAAACGAATAGTCTATTTTAATGAATTAAGAAACCTATTTTACAAAGACAACAAAACAATATGGGTCAGAAGCAATTCTAGCATTAATTTGTTGCTTTAATTGATTTAAAATGTTTATCATATATAAATGAAATGAAATGGGGGTTTAACGTCCTACTGTTCTTCTCCTACTGGGCTAATGAAGACGAGGATACGCCATACAGTGTGCTATGAGGGAAATTTTGCCTGTGCAGCAGCGCTACGGCCTACTGTTATATCGAATTTCAACTGCAAAGGGATCTTTTACGTGAACGCCAATTTGTACACGGGACCTCGTTTTTTAGTTCCATTCGAACGACTAGACAGCTGTCCTTGTCCTTCCCTCCGTCCTGCATCACTGACAAGGGGAAACCACGCCGAAAATTCTGGATGGACTTTCTCGGCCAATGCAGGGATCGAACACCAGACCTCCATGTTATGAGACAAATTTTGCACAGACAGTGATGCTACAGCCTACTCATATAACGAATCCCAATTGTCACAGGTTCTTTTACGTTCACGCCAATTTGTACATAGGACCTTCGGTTTTACTTCCCATCCGAATGACTAGACAACTGTCCCTTGTCCCCTGACAAGGGGAAACCACGGCGGAAAATTCTGAGGAACTATCTCGACTAATACCGGGAGAGAAACCGAGATCTCCAAACTAGGTAGCCAGTGTCTTATTATTATTATTATTATTATCCAGGCGAGGTAGCCAGTGTCTTATTATTATCATCCAGGAAGAAAATGTTTACCTTATGAAAATAGTCAACAGCTTTATAATTATCTCCCTTTAATGCATAAACAAATCCAATATCTGAGTAGATAGAAGGATTATTAGGGTTTATACACTGAGCTTTTCTGTGATAATCCAAGGCTACATCATATTTCCTGTATAAATTATACAAATATTCATTAACATTGTATATCTTATAGATGAACATTTAAAGATACATTATGGGAGATTAGATAAAGAGCTGGCAGTTCTCACTATAATAGTTAAACACTACATACTGTAAAGGGAATTTGCTGAAAATTTCAGTCAAATTGATCCATTCTGAACCGAGATTTTAGCATGTGAATTTTCGGCCTAGGCTCGATCATCATTACTAAAGTCGGTACGATAACAAACATAGTCTTAATTATCCATTTCATGATTAAATTATGAATGGAAGTCGAACAGGAAATCGGATCCTAATCCAGTAAACATTGCAGACTAGCGATGCTATCTAGAGTTGATTATGGTCTGGATAAGTTAATTAATGTCTAAGTAATAATTTAGATAACATTTCAGGCCTAAAGAAAGACCTGCAATAGACAGATTTAGCTCTTGCATAATGTATGTTTAATGTCATTAAAGCAAGATGTTTTTCAATTCGGTTTCTATGGTCTTTCTTTTTATATTCTGTATCTTATAATTTTCTGGATTCAGTTTTACTTGACATCTATCCAGCATTATGTTTTAAATAAAATTTTACTAACAGAATCCATTTTCTAAAAATGTCATCCACTAACAGATCGTTTCAAAAAGGTGTACGTACCATGGATGCTGTTTTGCCCGTTAGGGCTGGGTATCGATAGTGATTTTTACTATCGATAATCGGCAATGAAATGTTGGTCGATAATCGATAGTATCGAAAACAAACTTATTTTCACGGTCATCATCAAGACTGGATACAGAGTAAGTTCAAAGTTCAAAACCATACGAAGTTGCGAAAGATCGTTTCCTCCTGTCTAAGGAGATTTATTTGGAAAACATTAATAAAACTAATCCCGATATTTGTTGATAATAGATGGGACTGATTAAGGAATTATGTTAAAGTGAGAGATGGGGTTTAATGTCCACTTGACACAAACTAGATCATTTCGGGACTACAAGGAGTAGGGTCACCTGTCCATCCTCATGGGTTTTCTCCGGGTCCTCCGGTTTCCTCCCACTGCTAACACGATAATCCAAGTATCATTTAATCTTGTGTATTTAGCACTAATTTCCAATCTTTGTTTAAAAATTCGTAAAAACTGTTTAAAATCACCATAAATCGTTTAATTTGTACTTCTGTCCAGTTTAAAGCTGACCATTCAATTTTGATAATGAGTGTCCAATTTACAAGTGTTTAATTTCTCAATCACTGTTAAAAAATAAACAACCGTAGGGGTCTTTAGCAGTGAGAGGAAACTGGAGGACCCGGAGAAAACCCACAAGGTTGGACAGGCGACCCTACTCCTTGCCACGTACAACCGGGGATTCGAAACCACGCCAGTCGACTCAATGACAGACTTTATGATACAGCGCGCGCACGCTAACCATTCAGCCACCCAACCCCCCATATTTGGATGGAATTTGTTTTTAACTTACTTCAGTTTTCTACTAACATGTCCTAAGTTTGATATCAATGGTTCCCATTTATCTGGAATGATTTTTTCATCAACTTTTTTCACCAGTTCTAATGCAGCAAGGAAACTTTTCTCAGCTTCGGAATAACTGTAATTAAATTAATTTAAATGAGGCAGACAATCCTTCAAAAAGATCTGACATGGGAGGGAGGTTTTTATTTTTGTGTTTTTATTTTGTCAATGGATCATGAAACAAACGCTAGAGCCTTTATCCGACAAACATCACGCCTAAATAGTTGTGCTTCCATGCAAGTTTTAAGGATGGGAGGTGCTACATTCATTATCCCGATTTAAAATACAGATGTGACGTCATCCTTTGATGTTGGCGTACCATTATTTCAAATAATGGTACGGCAATGTGCCAAGCATACATTATTTATACTAGTTGCAATATTGGACCCGAATAATGGTTAAATGACTTCTTATAAACATCACATGTCCAGGGTCTACATTTATCTCAAGTTGTTGTTAGAAATAAAATGAAATGGAGTTTAACGTCCTACTGTTCTGTTCCTAACCTGGGCTAATGAAGACGGGCATACGCCATACAGTGTGCTATGAGGTAAAATTTGCCCGGACAGCGGCACTACGGCCTACTATTATAACGAATTCCAAAAGCCAAGGGATCTTTTACGTGCACGCCAATGTCTACACAGGACCTCGTATGATCCGAATGACTAGACAGCTGTCCTTGTCAGACCCGCCACCACAGACAAGGAGAAACCACGCCGGTAAATCCCGATGAACTTTCTCTGCCAATGCAGGTATCGAACATGCGACCTCCAGGCTAGCGAGCCAGCGTCTTATCCACTCAGCTACCATGGCTCTCTTGATTGTCAGTAACATTTATCAGGGTTGCATACTTAATAAATGAGCCTACTGCACATTTTTGGATTCATGGGCTAAATCTATTTGTTAAGGCCAGCTCAATTTTTGTCAAGGTTGCTGAGATGTAAATAAGGTTAGGACAGGTGATTGTTGACGAGATAAAGAGTGTATACAAATAATTTAGTTTTGGATTTCATTGATTTCATTGGTGATTGGTCGATTAGTGGAGTAATTACCTTGAATGGATTTTGAATAAGCGGGTTTTTGAACTATTGATGGAACAAATAGGCCCGTCTGCTTGGTAGAATCAATTAAGACGAAGAAATATAAAGTATGGACATAGAGATTGAGATTAAATGTTCGGAGCAGAACAGTAGGACGTTAAACCCCATTTCATTTCATTTCTCTCCAGAAGGTACAATCGAGTACCCTCCATTATCTCAGAGAACAGAAGGAGGGAACAACTGAACTTACATCTCACATTTTCCAACATTTTTCCTGCTTTAATTACTAATACCACTATTATTAAAACTTACTTTTGACTTTGAAAAGCTATAACACCCATCTCATGTAATACAAACGGATCGTTAGGTGCTATACTCAAAGCTTCATTAAAGAATTTCTCGGCTAATTTAGCGTTGTTTGTTAAACCATATTCTAAACCAATATATAACGCTGGTAAATGACATCTACAAAAGAAAATACATGATTGAATCCATTACATGATAGAAACGAAAAGTTTTAAACATACATTATGTAAGAGATAAACCTGCCTATTGCAAGTCTTTCTTTAGGTCTGAAATGTTATCTAAATTATCAATTAGACATTAATTAACATATCCAGACCATAATCAACTCTCGATGTCATTGATAGCCTGTGATATTTATTGGATTAGGATCCGATTTGCTGCTCAACTTTCATTCATGATTAAATCATGAAATGGATAATCGAGACTATGTTTTTTATGTACCGACTTTAGTAAAGCCTAAAAATCAATTGCTATATTCTTGGTTCAGAGTGGATCAAATTGACTGAAATTTTCAGCAATTATGTAGTTTTTAACTATTATAGTGAGAAATCCCAGCTCTCTATCTAATCTCCCATAATGTATCTTTAATTTGATTGTTACCGATAATTACAAATTATTCTTTCCACCCCCTAAACAATATTAACATCGGATTCTCTAGCCACAATTTTCACTTGTTTAAGTCAAGACATTGATAGAACTAGAACCAAAAGTTGAAATATTGTAGATAAATCAAAAATTAATGTTGTAATGCTCTCAATAGGAGCGGTTAATTCTCCAGCCACTAGTTCAGGTCCAGGCGTTATGAGTCTTGGTCCGCCAAAGTTTTTTTTAAAGATACAAACAGCCATATTCATTACGTCCCATTTATAAACTTACCCTCTCATTATTTGTGAAGCAGTAAAATAAGCCGCCATTGCCTGATCATGTTCACTTTTAGCCGCGAAACTGTGACCGTATGCTAACCAAGCTGGACCGTACGCTTTATCCAATGTTGTAGCTTTACTGTAAAAAAAAAACTAATTAATGTCTGTAACATCAATAATTCATAATCTTTTACAGGTATTTAGTACCTGGATAGAGTAAACAAAACAGTATAACATATAGAACACAGCTATCAATATATAGATAGAACTCAATGACCATTGAATACCGATCAGGTTATTCAATGGTTCAAGAAAGTGTATCCCTGTGCAAGTATTCCACGAGTGGAATGAGGCAGGGATACACTCGAGTGAACCATTGAATAACCCGAGCGGTATTCAATCGTCATTGAGTTCTGTTTTTATTCTATAACTATATGAAAATCTCAAAATACACTGTACTATCGAGGTTATCAAAAAAAAAATCACCAATAACATTAAAATTCATAATAGGTTTCGCCCTTTTTTCTTTCTTTTTTACCAAAATTATGGTAGCCTAGTGGTGACATCATTCTGGAAAAAAGTAGCATGTGTCCAAACCATTAAATTCAACCATAGTTTATTCAATTATGTTTGCTTGTATTTGCATGTAGTTATAGAATAAATTTGGGCGACTGTTTCGAAGCATATTATCTTAGCATTTGTTTGATTATGTTGTAGAATACTCTTCAAATCATCGCCCAAATATATTAGCAGGTGTTTTCCATTATAGTTTTTTTTATCACTATATTAATTTGAATAATGTATGAATTGATTTTTATACACACTAACACGTTGAAATAGTGTCTAAATGTCACTTGGTAATTTAGTACCTGATATGAATCGCTAATGCCCTCAGACTATACACTCTTTGGTCAAGTTAACACACATTCAGTAGAACTCATAATGAAATATAGGATTGTTAACACTTAGAACCCAAAATGCTGCAAAACCTACTTTGATGTTCTAGTGCTTAGTCCCGAAATGTCGATTTTGCGGCTTGTGGGCGTCTTCTGACACGCTTCTTTAACAATAACAAAATAGCCAATCAAAATGCTGTTTACTATTTGCTTCGGGACTGTTGTAAATAGCGACTTACTTCCACTTGTTTATATTTCAATTTTGGCATATTTTCGATGAATTTTGTTTCTAAATGACTACATACAACGGATGTGCTAGCTCTTATAACAAGCGATAATGGTGAAGATATTGATGGGTCGAATTACGGCAATGAAAGTGATTTTGAAAGTGAATATATATGCTCTAGATTCAGACGAAAATAAAATAGAAAAAAACAGCGATGATAACACTTGTAATCAATTTGTTAATAATGTCGGTGATAGAAATATTGACATAGGGCCTGGTCGCGAAATTAGCAGAGTTCAAAACTGTTGGCATGATTAGCACTCCAAGATCATGGATTGGAGATAAAATTGAATAAAAAATAAATTTTATGGTTAAATATCTTTGTTTCATCATTTTACACAATTATAAACACATATAATATTCACACCTAACATTTAGTTCCAATTAAAATGACGTCATTTTTGCAAAATCATGCCGTAAAGTCAGGGTAGTGTATGCAGCATCCAAAATATTTTCAGAGTTCAATGAAATGAAATGAAATGGGGTTTAATGTCCTACTGTTCTGCTCCTATGCTGGGCTAATGAAGACGGGCATACGCCATACAGTGTGCTATGAGGGAAATTTTGCCCGGGCAGCGGCACTATCGCCTACTCTTATATCGAATTCCAACTGCCAAGGGATCTTTTACATGCATTCTAATGTATACACGGGACCTTGGTTTTTCGTCTCATCAGGCCCTCCATCCTGCATCACTGACAAGGGGGAACCACGCCAGAAAATTTCTGAGTTAAAGCTTGACTATTATTTAAACTCTGTCACAAAATAATTTAAGCTAATAACTGGTTTGTTTGATCTGTTCTAATTAATAAATACAAAATAATTACCTTAAATATATACGGGCTGGATTACTCATTTCATTTAATAAATAATAACATCCAACAGCAAACCATGATATCTTTAATATATAATATAACATCCTACAGTAAACCATGATATCTTTAAATATAATATAACATCCTACAGCAAACCACGATATCTTTAAATATAATATAAAATCCTACAGCAAACCACGATATCTTTAAATATAAAACTTAATATAACATCCTACAGCAAACCATGATATCTTTAAATATAATATAACATCCTACAGCAAACCATATCTTTAAATATAAAACTTAATATAACATCCTACAGCAAAGGATGATATCTTTAAATATAATATAACATCCTACAGCAAACCACGATATCTTTAAACCATGATATGTAAACTTTGAAGGCCTTGGCCTAACTAATTCACAGGAACCCTTGCTGGATAAAGCCTAGCTTATGTCGTCCTACGACGCGAAAAAAATGACAGCGACTCGAAATCGGTGACTACCTGGGGTGACTTTGAGCGTTCTTACGACTGGTCGAATGGTTAATGCGTCGAATGTTTAATGCATGTGCCTTGCATCATTAAGTCTCCCATTGCTAAAGACCACTATGCGCATGTGAATTAATGAAATAAAGCTGAACCATGACCTCTCTCTCTCCCTCTCATTGCCCAGTAGACTTGACAAAGGGACATTACTTTCTGAAACTAATAAACCCCTAAAAGTTAAAAAAAGTTTTTTTTTTACTTACTGGCCTGTTGGGATAAAATTCTACAAGTTTATGAGCTAAATAAAATAAAGCTGAAATTAAATAAAAATATCAACAATTATCGCCATGGTACATCAAAACGTCAAATGATCTTCTTGTAGAAGGAAAGGGAAGAAACTGAAGGATGCTAACTACCATAAATAACCTAGTCTTGATCACCCAGAACCTCCTAGTCTTCAACGGACGAAAAGTCCATTGCCCATGCATTACACGGGAGTTTGGTTTTTAATGTGGTTTATTATCCAGTATCTTCTGGCCAAGTCAAGTAAGAGTTGCGCCCCTTCCCGCAATAAATCCCTTAATTCTTATATTAATATAAACAAACATGAATCGTGACGACGAATTAGGATTTATTAAAAAAACATAGATATTGCCCATGAAGAGAGAAATTTTACAATAAAAAAATTAAGAGCGTTGGATACTGAACTTGCATGCAATCAAATGGATTTTTTGAAACGGCATTCTTAAATTAATTTCATGGGCGTCAACATATTGTTTTAGGACTAGTTACTTCCCTTAGACTTTGTCTATTCTATGATAATGTGAAAGACCGGATAATCTATTCTATGATAATGTGAAAGACCGGATAATCTATTCTATGATAATGTGAAAGACCGGATAATCTATTCTATGATAATGTGAAAGACCGGATAATCTATTCTATGATAATGTAAAAGATCAGATAATCTAGCCAAGGACCTATTATTCTCAAATGTTGACAATGCATCCAGACTAATATTTGTAGAATATTTTTCTGGATGATAGAGACTATAAACTATAAACCCCACTTACATGTAAAACAACAGAACAGATGAAGAAGATGACGTGTGTTAAAAATAAGATTTGATATAAAAAATTTACTTACCATTAATTTTTTTGAGTTCTGTTAAAACTGCTACATGAAGAGGTAAACATTTTAAATTATATGGATCCTGCGATAAAACTCTGTAAATATATAAAACATTCAATGAAAGAGGCATTATGGGAGATTAGATAAAGAGTTGACTGTTCTCGCTATAATAGTTAAAAATCTGCTGAACTGAGATAGAGCTGGTTAAACACGTTCCAGATATTATTTTAACACAGAGATCATTGCTACGATAGATGCGTAATGAAGTTTTCAACAAACGGAAGTGACGAAAGCAAAAGGAAAACATGAGTTATCCTTCTATATAAATTACTTAAGTGACGAGTGATAACAGATATACTGGCAAATTTCTGCTCACTAATAATTCCTTTGAATTATTGTTATGTGAGAATGTGAGAGGATATCTGACAATTCAAAAAAGTAAATTGAATGTCACTAGATAGGCCAAAACGAGAAAAATAGAAATAGTCTGTACATTCACTTGTTTTTATTCTCTGTGTTAAAATTATATTTGGAACGTGTTGAACCAGTTCTGTCAAATATGTGATAATGACTGACACCAATATAGTACCACGGTTAAAGGGATATTTATCAAACTGGTACATCCCTTGAGCCATTTTGGTCAATCGGTCATGACCAGTATATACAACCAAGCTGGAACCTATGGCCTAGTAGATAGCCTGATATCATCCTAAACCACAGCTCTATAAATCACTTCAGAAACTAGTGAATAACTTTACATAACTTAGGACGGTATACTAGTTTGGGGTGGTCTACGGAGCAGTAGTTTCAGACGGTTTTGATTATGTAACACAAAACAGGAATTTTCAAATACTCAAAAAAAAAACAACCTCTTCTAAACAAATCAGATGCGTAAATACAAAAACAAAGGACGTTAATTATGTGTAGCTTTGTTATTTTATAAAACAAGGGACTTTAGCACTATAAAGACTAATAAAGTTTTATTTCTAATAGTAAAAACTAATAATGTTTTATTTCTAATACTAAAAACTTACTCTAAAGTGAGTCTATAACATTCACTATAAAGACTAATAATGTTTTATTTCTAATAGTAAAAACTAATAATGTTTTATTTCTAATAGTAAAAACTAATAATGTTTTATTTCTAATAGTAAAAACTAATAATGTTTTATTTCTAATAGTAAAAACTTACTCTAAAGTGAGTCTATAACATTCACTATAAAGACTAATAATGTTTTATTTCTAATAGTAAAAACTAATAATGTTTTATTTCTAATACTAAAAACTTACTCTAAAGTGAGTCTATAACATTCACTATAAAGACTAATAATGTTTTATTTCTAATAGTAAAAACTAATAATGTTTTATTTCTAATAGTAAAAACTAATAATGTTTTATTTCTAATAGTAAAAACTAATAATGTTTTATTTCTAATAGTAAAAACTTACTCTAAAGTGAGTCTATAACATTCACTATAAAGACTAATAATGTTTTATTTCTAATAGTAAAAACTAATAATGTTTTATTTCTAATAGTAAAAACTAATAATGTTTTATTTCTAATAGTAAAAACTTACTCTAAAGTTAGTCTATAACATTCACTATAAAGACTAATAATGTTTTATTTCTAATAGTAAAAACTAATAATGTTTTATTTCTAATAGTAAAAACTAATAATGTTTTATTTCTAATAGTAAAAACTAATAATGTTTTATTTCTAATAGTAAAAACTAATAATGTTTTATTTCTAATAGTAAAAACTAATAATGTTTTATTTCTAATAGTAAAAACTAATAATGTTTTATTTCTAATAGTAAAAACTAATAATGTTTTATTTCTAATAGTAAAAACTTACTCTAAAGTGAGTCTATAACATTCACTAAAATTACAGTTATAATAATGACGTTCAGCTTTATTAACCACTGTATCTAGGTTTTTATCTAAACCTGTCACATTTGTAGGTATAGCTGTCTTCACTGGTCCATTATACTGTATAATAAACAATAAATAAAATATAATACAGAGATAGAGAGAGAGAGAGAGAAAGAGAGAGAGAGAGAGAGAGAGAGGGTTTAACGGCCACCCCGACACAAACTAGGTCATTTCGGGACTAACATGGTTCAATTTTATTTTAATAATTCCCTTGTGCATGTAGGGGTCTTAAGCAGTGGGAGGAAACTGGAGAAAACCCACGAGGTAGAACAGGCGACCCTACACCTTGTCATGTACAACCAGGTAATCGAAACCACGCCAGTTGAATCAATGACAGACTTTATAATACAACGCGCACGCTCTAACCATTCGGCCATCAAACCCCCCTAACATAAAATACGTCTGTCCATATCATTAAAGGAATCAAAGCTAAAACGATATGATATACAAATTATTCAAAATGAAGGAAAAGGACTCTTCAGAAGCTCCAATTATCAGTTTGTCATTCGAAAGGTTGTAGCACTTGAAATTTGATTTTTCGACAATTGGGAGCTACAACTGGATTTTCGGAAAGTATGTTGGAACCAGGTTGATCTTTCCAGTTCCCTTCTGCATATTTTAGAAAATTAAAATTTTAAGTATAAGTAGAAATGTGAAATTTGTGAACTTACTTTTTTTAAGCGATCTTCATATAAAAATTTGACTAATTCTATTTCTTCTTCAGGACATTGAACAGTAAACGGCAGACTTTCCATTAATTCTATTTCTAGAAAAGTCATATGTATTTAAATGTTAGCATTATAATATTGTTTCAACTTGCTAATGAAAAACAAAAGGTCTCAGGGTCTTATTTTCCCAGATGACATTGCATACAGATTTCCTTTAGGTAAATTTTTATTAAACATACATTATGCAGGAGCTAAATCTGCCTATTGTAGGTCTTTCTTTAGGCCTTAAATGTTATATAAACTATTAATTAGACATTTATTAACTTATCCAAACTATAATCAACTCTCGATGTCATCTTATGTGTCAGATTTTCACTGGATTTGAATCCAATCTGCTGTTCAATGCTCATTGATGATTTAATCCAAAAATAGATAATCGAGACTGTTTTTAATCGTACTGACTTTAGTAATGATGATCTAGAAAAGACCTGAAATTCAAACGCGAATATCTCGGTTCAGATATTTACATTATCTATTATTCAACTATTATAGTGAGAACTGCCGGCTCTTTATCTAATCTCCCATAATGTATCTTTAATATATAAACATAAAAGGGATGGAAAAATATTTTAAAAAATATTGCCACCCCCCAATGTACACGTTTATTTACAAACCTTCTTCAGCTGTTAACATATGATGATTGACTAGAAGATCTAACGCCTCGTAACAATAAACATCGTGTAATAACGCTTCTTGATAACATTCTATAGCTAAACTACGATTATCCATAGCCTCGTATACTTTCCCTCGTAATAACAACAGTGAATTCTCCATCTAAAATAAATATCAACTCCATTTGTTATACTATAATTATCTTCATTATTTACAACAGGGTCATTCACGATTAAGGAGACATTAGCTGGTAAAAAGTAATTTAAATATACAGATACACAACTGTAATACCTGATGCAAGTCTGCCAACATTTTAGCTTTCAATTTCCCAGATATACAAATTTTCAAACGTCACCACCATTGTATATATAAAGGCTTCACAGGATTAGTTAAAGTAATCATTTGATAAAGGGTCTAGTTTTAACCTGAAACCCTACAAAGATGAATAAACCACCTCATTTCTACATAAAGTTTCATTTTGAGAGAGAGAGAGAGAGAGAGAGAGGGTTTAACCTACACTCAACATAAACTAGGTCAGTTCGGGACTAACATATGGTTTAATTTTATTTCAATAATTCGCTTGCACGTACGGTCTTTAGCAGTGGTAGGAAACTGGAGGACCCAGAGCAAACCCACGAGGTTGGACAGGCGACCCTACTCCTTGTCACTCACAACCGGGGAATCGAAACCACGCCAGTTGACTCAGTGACAGACCTTATGATACAGCGCGCGCGTGGTAACCATTCGGCTATCCAACACCCCCATTTGATTTTGTACTCCAGTGACTTTCAAATATTTTTTAATGTCTACTCTCTCTGCCGGCATTATCGTTTCATACAGACATGCCTGCCTGTCCAGTCTCTGCTACTCTTTAAAGTGAGTGTTTCCGTTCCCCATTCTCGTTACACAGTTTTAAATAGCTCTAATTTCAACATCTAGTGTGATTAAAGGCTGAAAAAAGATAACAAATTAATATTCTGACTTAAAATTCCAGGTTAAAGTAAAAACAAAGTTCATGAACCTTAATAAAACCTATTTAAACCTTACATCTTTAACAGGAAAATTGGCATCAAGATCTTCGTAACTTTCGTTGAGATTGGACTGAACTTGTGACGTATCATTGTATAATTCTTCCCATTCGTTATCGGCACCATCTAATATATCCAACGCTTCTTGGTAATCTTTACATTCATACTGTAAAAGGAATCGCAACATATTTACCATTCATCAGTTGGTGACTATCATGTGAAATTAGTGGTACTTGGTAGAAATGAAAGGAGAGAAAGAGAGAAATGGGGTTTAACGTCCACTCGACACACACTAGGTCATTTCAGGACTAACATATGATTCACTTGTGCGTAGGACATAGGGGTTTCTTGCAGTGGGAGGAAACCGGAGGACCTGGAGAAAACCTTGGAGGTTGGACAGGCAACCCTACTCCTTGTTACGTACAACCAGTTAATCAAAACCATGCCAGTTGACTCAATGACAGATGTTATGATACAACATGCACGCACTAACCATTCGGCCATCCATTCCCATAACATTGACACATAACCGAAGTTGAATAGGCCTACCCGTCCAGTTAATACAACAGACAATCTCACATACTAGTCGCCTCCTACTTCCGTTTTCCAAGGCATACTCCAAACCTTGACTCTCATACAAATAAACCACTTGGTACTATTTCGTACGTATATCATATTAAACCCCTCGGGCGCCATGTTGAATTACACAGTATTTAAAGTTCTAAAACCTAACTACTTTATGGAATCAACGACAATTCTAAACTTGGGCACTCCAACCATTTTTATTTTTGTTTGACATATTTCTCACGTTAATCAGTTTAAGACAATCTCTTGCGACATTACTCAACGCAAAATCGTGATTTAATTTCTATCTAAGAAAGTGGTCAAAATCACTGTAACTCATACATGTACAACTACATAGAGTTTATTGTTTATATAAAAAAAATCAATATATTCTTACATGACATTTAGCAGCTAAATATCTACATGCTGAATAAGACTGAAAAATAAAACCAAATCTTTATAATCACAGTGAGAAAATAGACCATTTAGTTGTAGGCTACCTGGCTTTTTATACATTTCACCGATATGGTTACTTGTATAGGTAATTTTTACTTCAATATGCTTAAATTCATATTTCATGTGGCATGTAGCAGATCATGACTCGTACTGGTATTACACAATGCTTTTGGGATATATTCCTCCTTATTGTTAGCTTTCATTTTTGAGTGAAGTCTTTCACTACAGGCCAGGGACTGTACAGCGCAATGGACGCTTATGGCTAGGCCCCGGATCCATTCACTTAATCTGATATGTACTTTTGTTTGTGATTTCTGCGTATTGTGTCTTGTCCGTATTTTGTGTATTTGTGTGTGGTGCAGTCTCCCTGCACTTACTATTAAGAGCCACTGTACAATTTTTCCACCTAGTTTAACACTGAACATTACCTGCAATACAGGTAAAGCAGGTAAAACAGGTAAAGTGAGTGGTTGATATCTAGCTTAAAGATGCAATACACTAGAAGGCTAAAAAAAAAGATTTTTCTCAGTTAAAGGCTGAATACCACTCTTTATTCTGGTCAACAAATGGTACTATTTTACAGTATTCCAATTAATTGATGATACAAATTTCATCTTAACACACCTAATTTAAAAAATTGGAAAAATTTAACTAAATGATTTGAAAAGCCTAACGTAAACCTTTTCAAATGTGACATGGATTTAAAAAATATTTTCGAACCCTCTGGACAAGTAAAATAGGATGTAATGGATAATTTACATAACAGGTAGGGCACTTAAACATCTAATACTTAGAATAAGGCTAATATTTATTTATTGGAGCTGTCAAGCCAGCAAGAGTGTTATTGTCCCTTTAACTTTAATAGCTGAAACGTGTTCTTTAGACCCAGTTTACGGTACATCTAGATACCAATGTGACTTTGATAGAAATGTGTTATCCTTCAATGGATAATCAAGTAATATTCACTACAGAATCAGTTTGAATATTCATTTGAAAATGAAATGAAATGAAATGGGGTTTAACGTCCTACTGTTCTGCTCCTAAACAGGGCTAATGAAGACGGGCATACGCCTTACAGTGTGCTATGAGGGAAATTTTGCTCGGGCAGCGGTACTATCGCCTACTCTTATATCGAATTCCAACTGCCAAGGGATCTCTGCCAAGGGATCTTTTACGTGCATTCCAATGTATACACGGGACCTCGGTTTTTCATATCATCCGAAGGACTAAACAGCTGTCCTTGTCAGGAGAGAGGGTTGGGGTTAACGTCCATGCGACACAAACTAGGTCATTTCGGGACTAACATATGGTTCTATTTTATTTCAATAATTCGCTTGTGCGTAGGGGTCTTTAATAATAGGAGGAAATCGGAGAAAACGCATGAGAAACCGCGCTAGTTAACTTTATGATACAGCACACAAGCTAACCATTCAGCCATTCAACCCCCATGAAGTATAATAGAGCCTACATGTATACCTGATCAAGTTTTCTACTCCTCAGTAAATGTGAAGCTCTGTGATACTGTCCTGTCAAATATAACGTCTGTGCATACCAATATACATCTTCCACATTCTCTACAACATGTAAATCCAATTTAACATACAAATAATAGTAAACCTTTCGTTAGTTCTAAACTGGCTAAAAATTCATTTTGGTTAAAAATTATGGCCTGTATAAGTCAAAAAACAATATATTATTTACACTACCGGTACTGTAAGTTACTGCCAATTCGATCTTTTTTTATCCACATCATAAATAAGGAATATCTCATGGTATATTTTATGTTGTATGTATGTAGGGGTTTCAGGTCAAAGTTTTAATGACAGAAAATTTTTTTAAAAAAATATTTCGTGAAAATATACATAAAATGCTACCCAAATTTTTTTATTTCATCAAAATATTCTAATTAGATCCAAAGTTATGCGTGCCATGGCACCAAAATATGTGCTTTTCAGTCATATCTGACTGACGTCATAAGCGGTATTTTCCATTCAGAATAGCTAGTACCAATTTTAAAACTCATACCCGCACATTATAGTCAGCTAAGGTTTATTAAAATAGCAATAATTTGAATGATATTATGTCAAATATTTAAAATCTGGATGATACCACAAAAAAAGTTGGCTATATTTAGTCGAAATTTAGCAAATTTCAGTCAGCAAAACAGAAATATCCCGAAGTCAGAGCGGCATTTTCCCGCGAACGTCTCCTGTACATAAACGGTAATTTCGCTTACATTTCGATAATATTTTAGCCTGATTCTTTGCAGATATCGAGATTGATATTAAACTATATCAACACAATTACTAGTAATTTTATTATAATACATTTAAATAAAATAGTAATTCAGAATCGTAGATTGAAGCAGGCTATATTTCAGCCGCTGGCTGTCAGAATTCACGCTAAAATCATGTGACCTGAAACCCCTAATGTATGACAACAAATATTATATTATTCAAATATTTTTGCTTAATTACCATTTGTAAGTGTAACGAGTTTATCAGCCCAGAACATTGCAGAATCATAATGATGCTGTAAAGAAAAGAGAAAAAATTAAGGTGCAAGTACTTTCGTTTTAAATTTAATATTTTTATTTAATTATTATCAGTATCAGTCATTACCACTCATAATATTTTATAGAGCGAATCTAAAGCATCACGCGAAGCGCGGTGCTTGAGCAAAGCTCTTTTCCGGTAGCACAGGAGCGTACTGTAACTGAAATTGTCACCAACAGACTGTTGATCAAAAAAAAATTCAGGCCGGAACCGGATACACTGGGCAAAACAGGCAATGCACATGTCAACTTACCAAATCTCGCTTGGGCGAGATTATGCGCCTCATAGAACTATTTCTATGATGCGTCTAATCAATGACGTCACATATTTTTGACGTCAATGAAAATAATTCTCACACTTTTTTGTTCTTTTTTTTTACAACAAAATTAATGTAAACAATTTAGATCTAAATAAAAATCAATTTGGAAAAAATAAATTATTTAACATTTTTTGTATCACATGAGAAAATTAATTATGAAGGTTTTATATTTGACAATAATCAGCTTCGCTCTACTCTGGCAATATGTCTGTTAATATGTTAGTAATTTTGGATGTTTATTTCTATTCAGGACTTATAATTGTGCAAGGTCTTACATGATATATTTAACCTTTATTTCGGCACGTTGATAATTAAAATTATTTTATATCTAGATATCTAGGCCTTTGTAATGTATGATAGATTCTAATTCAATGATAAAAAGCGGCAATTCTGCGATTTTCAAAATAAAAACGTCTGGTTCGGTTACACCGTAACAGGCCTGCGTGACAGTGTTGGTAAGGGTGTTGTGGTAAAAATAAAACAACATATCGACCTTTTCTATGTAATTTTTAACTTTTCCTCTTAAAAGTGCTAAATTTAATTTTCCTGGCTCTTGGTTTACGGTATTAAATCCAGGACTTGGGCTTGTAAAGAGAACTTCTTCCGCCATATTTATTGTTTAACTTGATTCTGTGTTTCATCCTAGGCAATTGGCACGCGGTTTAGAACTTGGCTAAAGAAAGGGTGTGATGAAATCTATTTAAGTAACTAAAGAAAGAGTTCATAAAATGTATTTAAGTCACTTAATTTGACGATAAATATCATATCATCTATAAGCATAAAAATGTTAATAAAATTAAGAACATAAGAAAGTGTTTTCTTCTTAAAACATCGTTTGGTAACAAAACAGAGTTAGTGCATTATCGCAATCAAGTAAATTATTAATACTTAAACAGAGCTTGGATCAATCTTGAATTGTTCAATGGAATTTAAGTTTTTGATTCATGTGTGTGTTTTATATAGGCATCAAAGGTAAGTTTGAGTATCTTTATACCATTTACAACTATAGTTATGTAGTTGTTGTTTACATTTTCTTTTAAACAATGGGTTCATTTTTCTACTTCGAATTGAGGATAATCCAAGTAAGACATTTATATTATTCGACAGACTGATGCGATTGGTCGATACGATATCCTAGCAACTGTTTACAATATGGTGGATGAATGATATTTTGTGTAAAATTTTAGTAATAATTTGGTGACATTTGTCGTTAATTTTGATTTTGTTTGAAAAGGTGAGTTTGAAAGTAGCACTTCAAGATTTGGATCTATACCTTCTCTTCAAGAAGCATGTGACATTAAAATCAAACCAGTTGTTTAGGGTTGGGCGATGCGATAGGCCTAATGAAAAAAAATATATGATAATAATTTATCAAATATCATGATAAACGATATATTATCATGATAATTTAAACGTGTGGCTTAACTCTTAAGAAGTCAAAATTTGAATACTTGGTTCTGGAATCGTCGCCTGATGCCACATTTTTGTTGCTAATGTCAGTGATGGAGATTTGATTTATCTTAGACCAGCTGCCCTGGTACTTAATAATGCTATTTTTACGGATGAATTTAATTCTGTAAATAGAATGTCGTACATTAATCGAAGTAAAATATTGATGATGATAATACCTAAACATAACTGGAGGGGTTCGAAAATCTACTTATAAGACAGTGACAGCTGCGACTGAGGTAAATACCGTATTTTAGTATAAGTCGATGAGGGGTATAAGTCGAATCGTCATATTTTACTGTTTTTCCGACCTCCGTCCATAGATGAGTCAAAGCGGTGTAGTGAAAGATGAATGTTTTTCCATTCATTTCGGGCAGTAATCTTTGATCGAGTTACGGTAGTGTTATTATCCTAGTCTAATACTGTGCCGATGTAACATACAAAAATCAATTAATGTAAAATAATTAGTTGCTAAATGCAGGACTAACTTGAGTAGTAATAATGGTATTCTAAGTTTTGTTCTTGATTCATTTGAACCTTTTTTTATTCCAATATCTCTGATAAATACAAAGACAATACATGGTTTCTATTCGCACGTGACTGGCGATCACACAGTGCTAATAATAGACTAAAATAAAATAGAAGGTGTCTATTGATTGGACAATAAAAAAAATAATTACCGACTTTTAAAGGCTCAATACCACTCTTGTTGTAACTGAATAATATGTCCCAAACTTTATTCTGGTCAACAAATTGTACTATTTTACAATATTCCAATTAATTGATGATACAAATTTCATCTTAACACACCTAATTTAAAAAATGCAACTAAATGATTTGAAAAGCCTGACGTAAAGCTTTTCAAATGGGACTTGGATTTAAAAATATTTTTGAACCCTCTGGACAAGTAAAATAGGATTTAATGGATAATTTACACAACAGGTAGGACACTAACACATCTAGTACTTAGAATAAGGCTATTTTTTATTTTCTGGAGCTGTCAAGCAAGCAAGAGTGTTATTGTCCCTTTAAAGTAGAATTTTTATGATTGGTTAATTTAGTTGAAAACTAAAGTAGAATTCTTGCGAGAAATCACGAGAGATAGAGATATGTTTCTTATTGGCAGAAAGATTCTATCTTAATGACATTTTCTAGCCTTTATTAAATGTTGGTTATATTCTTTAAAAAAAAATTAAACAAACTACATATATGTATTGGCGTGGATTGGAATAACAATAGCAAAAGTCGGAACAATGTGCGTTGACTTTGCCATGAGAGTGCTATTATTTTGACATTTAGCAAACGATGTCAGTCAACATCGTACTTCGTAGGGCGACAGTTACAGAGAAAAAACATTTTTTGACCTCATTTTTTTTACCTTCATCGATATATAAGTCGATGCAGACTAAAAGACGAAGGTCCGACTTTGGCGGCATTAAAAAGTATCGACTTATACCCCGAGAAATATGTTACTGTCCAACCTTGACGTTGCCAAACAACTGTTCATCGATTACGAGTCCTTGCATCAATCATGACCTCTAGCATTACCATTTCGACTTCGTATGATGTAGCATATTATCATCAATATTGGGACATGATAATTATCACATCGTGATAATTTTAGTTATCACGATATACCGGTTTTCCAATATTTTTAAATAAGTCCAATATGATAAAATCATCGATGATTTTATCACGATATACCGAAAAACTGGTTTATCGCCCAACCCTAAGTTGTATCAGTTTGACAGTTGAGTTTGTATGTAGTAATTTGGATTAGCCTCCATTAGGCTACTCATTAGCTTCTAGGCCTATCGAGTACTGAAGACGAATTTTACTCCTTTTTTTTTCTGAGTTGACTTTGGTCTTTAGTTTAACTAAGTACTGTTGTATTATTTTGCTATTCGATTCAATATATTAAATGGTCAATAATATTTTCTTTTTTTTAGTGCAATATGAATATTAATTATTATGCACCATTTATTTATTTGAATCAATTTTGAAAATCACAATTCATTTAGTTTTTTAATATTATAAACGACTCTGTCCCATGACTTGAATTCAAGTCCGACTTTTAGTCTCATCGATGTCCTGACTTGAATTGGAATATTTATTGAAAGATTTGAAAGAGTTGCGGCATGACTCTAACTTACCTTATTCACCGTGAATTAGTGACTCATTTGATGGACGGGGGGTGGATGGCCGAATGGTTAGCGTGTGCATGTTGTATCATAAGGTTTGTCATTGAATCAACTGGCGTGGTTTTGAATCCCCAGTTGTACGTGACAAAGAGTAGGGTCGCCTGTCCAACCTCGTGGGTTTTCTCCGGGTCCTCCGGTTTCCTCCCGCTGCTAAAGATCCCAATGTGCAAGCGAATTATAGAAATAAAATTGAACCATGTGTTAGTCCCGAAATGACCTAGTTTGAGTCGAGTGGACGTTAAACCCCATTTCTCTCTCTCTCTCTCTCCATTTGATGGACGGGCGACTTGAACGGGACTCAGCTTAATCAGGCTTTGTGAAGACTTGGGATTCTACTCGACTTGGGGCCTAAAATCAAAATTATTGGATAAACTTATTAAACAGCTTATTAAAAATATACTAGGAACACTAATCATGTTTTTGAATTTATTTTTTTAGATAAAAGTCAAACACCCAACATAATCAATCATGATGGATCCGGAGGTATTTGATGAGCAGGCTAAAACACTGGTCGATCAGGTTATAGATACAGCACTAAGGCGTCTAGAAACTAGCATGTCAGAACGAGAACACACATTCGAATCGCTAGGTTATTTTGACTTTGCAAGAGAAAGTAAAAATGAACAACCAGTATTGCCCCGTGAGGATAATTACGAAATTAAAAATATAAATTGGTTAACCATAGAAGAATTTTCAATTCAAAGGGCAGAAGAAAAAATAAAGGAATTTATTCAGGTAATAATAATTTACAAAATATAATAAAATAAAGAAAAAGGAGTTCATACAATCTGATTACAATACAGATCTATATTTCGTTTCGTTTTTTATACTTTCGGTGGCCTACACTACATGAAGATCTGACCAGTTGTAGTAAAAGGTTGTGTTAGTGCTGAAATATGCAGGGTATTACGTGAAGGTCTTGATAAGATGTAACGAGTTAAAGCAAGATCAAGCTTTCTATTGAACATTGTCTACAGGTGACTTGGAAGGATGAATACTGACAAGTGGTCACAAATCTCATTTTAGGAATTTAGTTGTATTGTTGTTTTTTTTATTTTAGACATGGGAGTATCAAGATAGTTGGTTATACTGTGTCGATTTCCTGGGTAAAGACAGCCACGATTATGATCATCGTTATCGATTCCGTGTAAGATGGAGTGTACCAACCCGTAGAAAGCCAGTACCCAGATCGACAGCTTGTGTTTACTTTACATTTGTTGTTTCTAAAATTAAACCCAAGGTAGGTCCTTTTATTCTTTTGTCAATATTTAATCTGTAATATAGAGAGTGAGAGAGAAATAGTGTTTAACGTCCGCTCGACACCAACTAGGTCATTTCGGGACTAATTTGGTTCATTTTTATTTCAATATTTCCCTTACGCGTTGAGGTCTTTTGCAGTTGGAGGAAATCGGAGGACCCGGAGAAAACCCATGAGGTTGGACAGGTGACACACATACAAGTTGCCTCCCCCTTCTGATTTCCAAGACATTTTAGTCCAACCCTTGACTCTCATAATCATATTATAAATAAACCGTTTGTTACTAACCCGTATCTAAATATATTAAACCCCTCGGACGCCATGTTGAATTACACAGTATTTAACATTTAAAAACTTAACTACAGTATTCTAATGATGCTAAAGGGTTGAACTTCAAATGTCCTTGTGGCATTGAGGAATGGAATTTCAGAATATTTAAAAAAATAATCCTACAGTAATAAAACAAAAGAGCCCCCTTTTGTATAAAATGGAAGTAAAACTTTACTATACAGCCTGAGGTTCTTGAAATTATTACTATAAAATAAAACTCATTCAATTTAACAATACTTGAATAATTTGTCAAGGGAGACAACCCATGTTTGACTACTGTGTGTGAAATAGCTTTATTTTAACGTCCGCTTCCATCAAGTGATATCGGAGACAATTTTGACTATTCTGCTTATTACTGCATTTATAGGCAGTCCATGTTATTTATTTAGTATAATAAATTAATCTCATTTGAAAATATCTTTCTCTCCAATCTTTGGTGTTATTGATATAATAAATCTGGTCTGAAATAAAAAGGAATTATTAGAATCCCCAGTATGCACTTTTGTAATTTTAAAGGCTTAAATTATATTTTATTGTAGTCAAATTATAGTATCAAGCTGAGCAGGAGACTGAAATACATTATATATTACTGAATATCAAACAATTTAATTCTAACTTACATGTATTCAGGGGGTTAGATGGCCGAGCATGTGCGAGCTGTATCATAAGGTCTGTCATTGAGTCTTCTGATGTGGTTACGATTCCCCGGGTGTATGTGACAAGCAGTAGCGAATTATTGAAATAAAATTGAACCATTATGTTAGTCCTGAAATGACCGGAGTGGACTGGACGTTAAAACCCATCTCTCTCCCTCTCTCAATACCTTCTATGAAACAGATTGGATCAGGGCATTTAGAAAACTTTAAAAAAAATTTTTTTTTCTACTTTCAGGATCATTCTGTAGATGTGTTTTATGTCTTCGAAACAAACAGACTCGTTCACAGGTAAATATTGTCAATAATTCAGATTTGCTATTCGTTTTCTAACTTCTGTATAAGAATATTTCGTGTACCAGGTATTGGATGAGTTTAGTGAATCAATTCTGGTAACTCAGTAGTTTAAATTAATATTAAATTTTGACTGAACACAGGTCATCCATTGTCAGTTTTACCTGTGGAACATTGTCACAAGGTTACTAATTAAAATCCTAAACTTGATGTTTAAAGGAGCTAAATCGCTAATATTTGGGAACTAGAAATTTACACAAATGGGTAGCAATGCATATAATAATGAAATATGAATGTATATAAACTGTTTTACATTCAATCGTTTATGTTTTTAATCTAATTTCAAATCAGTTTTGTTCGGCGAAATACGCCAGAAGTCTCAATCGAATGGCAAACTTTATATAGCGTCTGGTTATTTCAGTCTATACCGATAGTATTTATTGCACATGCTCTCCAGATATGAATATGGCGTCACCGTTTGACATGACCTGTGGAATATGTCTAGTCTCATACTTCGAGTTCCTTGTTACAAATGACACTGAAATGCACTATGGTACACTATTTGTGTACCAATGGTAAAATGTTTATTTTGTCTTAAATACTGGATATCAGAAGCCCATCTTTTCCCGATAAGATCACAACATCAATGTTGATTTGAATTGACAAATAATTTGTGTTTTCAATGACGAAGACTTTGGATGACATTTAGTTAGAGACTTAGCTACTTTAATTAACATTTCAATTGAAAAGAGATAAAACATAAATAAAAGTTTTTTTGTTAGAAAGTAATAGATGTTTAATTAATGTTCTTACTCTCGGCCACCATAAATATTTTCTGTTGTGAGCAGGAGTATTTTAGATAGATTATTTAGCCCAGCATTTAGTTGATATTTTAGTTTTTCTGTTGTCATTAAGAAATATGAAATAAATAAAAGTTTATTATTTAAAATATTTAACGCACGCTATAGATTCTGGATTTATTAAATTTGATTAAAGATACATTATGGAAGATTTGATAACGAGTTGGCAGTTCTCACTATAATAGTTAAAAACTAGATAATGTAAAGGCAATTTGCTGAAAATTTCAGTCAAATTGATTCACTATGAACCGAGAACTAAGTGATTGAAATTTCCGCATTGGCCTCGATCATCATAACTAAAGTCAGTATGATAAACAGCATTGTCTTGATTATCCAATTAATCGTTAAATTGTAAAGAAAAGTTATGCAGTAAATCGGCTCATAATCCACTAAGGATCGCAGGCTAGCGATGCCATCTAGAGTTGATTATTGTCTGGATAAGTTAATTAAGAGTGTATCCGCGAGAAGACCATGCAAAAATCGCAAAAAATGCTAAGATGGGGGGTCGGAAGTTTTTGATCAAACTTATGGTTTGACACCCCCTAGGGGCAAGAGGTAACATGCTGAAGTGGTTACAGTCTGATGTCGCCTCTAAAGGACTGTACAGGAATTATTCATTTTATGGGTAAAATTGTGGTTTTCACATGTGTATTTATCAACCTTTCTAAGCACAGACTGCATTCTATGGTGGAATAGCAACCATCTAATTTTGACCCTGTCTGATAAAGCGGGTGGTCAACTTCTACCCCAGCACTAATTTGAAAAAAAAAATCAGTACATACTAATTTTGTGTGGACTTGTTTTAGGGTACCATATTCACATTGTCCTTATAGTGCAGAAAAAGATACACTGTAACTATTTCTTTCATGGTCGCAAGTAGAATTTCTTTGGATGGTTTTGAAGTGCTAAGCACATAGTATCCATAGGTGTAAAAAAAATGACCGGAATGCAACATACTTAAAATATACAGCTTATTGAAAAGTGCTAAAAATAAGCTTTTGTGATATATTTTTTTGCAAATTTAATTAGAGAAATAAAATTTTTGACTTTTATACGTTTTCATCATATCCATAGCCATTATTTGTACCATGTTGTACTCTATATAAGTGTGTATTTGTATTTATTGTATATTTGGTATTGTCGTATTGTCCCTTTAACATATTTGTTGTATTGTCTCTTTAAGATTTCATTTTCAAACAAGTTACCGAAAATGACTACAAAATGTTTAATTTCAGAGCATGTTTCCACTATTTATTTTGGGACACATCCACTGATTTCTACAATACAGAAATGTGGAAGCTTAAATATTAACGGCAACGAAGCCTAATTGCGTCGAAGTGGGTGACATTGAAGAGTGTAGTATGGTAGCTACAGCTCTTGGGCACCGTCAGCTGCACCTTCAGGGCCGGATTTAGAATAAGAGAGGCCCTAGGCAAACCCCCTGAACAGGGCCCACGACATGGACCTTGGGGCCCTGGGACAAGCAACTCGGTGAGAGGGTGGGTCGGGGGAAGTCATGTCGTTGGTGGTTCGAATCTCACTTTTAGGTGAATTTTTCATTTTCGTTGGATTATTTTATTTAAAATAATGTCTATTTGAGAGTAATGGATATGTTTGTTAAGATTGAGCACATTGAAACTCCAATGGAAGGTCGTGGACAACTGCAGAAGTCAATTCCCGTTGACGCCAGATGAGCCATGAACGATTACAGGCCTTTGAAAGTATTTTTTTTCAAGATATTTTTATAAAACAGATACTAATGTATTTTGGGGCTGGTAGTAAACACCATATGAATGAAAAGGAAAATAAATTGTAAGGTTTTTTTTATCTACTACGGTTAATTATCTCCAAAATAGGGAAATTACAGATTAATTTCATGGGTTATTGTTTCCTTTACCTAGTTTTTGTCAAGTGGATTCCGGTCATTTTTATTTTTTGTATCAAATGTTGGAAGGTTGCTTGTTCACGTGAGCATAATTTTTTTAAACCCATCCCATGAAAGAAGAAGCTATAGGGTGTCAAACTTTGGGTGACGAAAAATGGGGAATTTAGACAGGCTTTGATATCCAGTCCGTATACAGATCTCGTTCGCCAGAATCGTCTGAAGTTAATATTGTGGTAACAGCACTGAGTCATCGATAAACTGTGTGAGTTTGGTCTTTCTGCTACGTATAGTAAAGGTGTAAGGACTTGCCAAAGTTGGTATTTGAGAAAAGACAGATTTTGGCAATTTCACCATATGAAAAATGTTTTTTCAATTTTCTCATACAGGAATTGAAAGATTTATCTAATATTGCACATATATGTGTTTTGGGACTATCCCAACTTATAAACCAAATTTGGTCAAAATCTGTGATTGAAGCCTTAGCACCTTCTGCATGGTTTTCTCACGGACACGCTCTTAATGTCTAATTAATAATTTAGATAACATTTCAGGCCTAAAGAAAGACATGCAATAGACAGATTTAGCTCTTGCATAATGTATGTTTAAATAAAGGTGCATGGCAACATTGTCCGTCTTTAAATTTTTATTAGGCATTGTCAAAGTTGGTGGTATTGATGACCCAACAGTTCAGTGTATTAAGGTTTTATTAAAGTTCGCTTATTAATTAGAATGTTTACGGTATACATTTATTGTGGAATATATCAAGGTTATTAATTAAGTTGTTTACAGTATGTATATTACTATTAGGGTTTTATTAATTTTTGTTATTTATTTGGATTTTTACGGTATATTTATTAAAGTTAGTTTTTTTAAGATGTTTACGGTATGAGTATTTATTAGGGGTTTATTATATCTGCTTGTTTTTTAAGATATTTACGGTATATTTGTTAGGGATTTATTACATACCTAACTACTAGATAAATAAAATCTACTTACCTGGTTAATGCAAGGTAAATATTAGCTAGAAATATGAACTGTGTATTAAATTCTTATATACAAAGACTTAACGTCTTGCTTATCAGGGTTTGATTTGAATAGAATACAAGGGGGGGCTGAGATATATACCGGTACATAATGTTTAACTGATAATAGGCACATTGTGACTGACACAATCAATTATATTATAGACGGCCTACTACTACTAGGTTTACATATATTTTAAAGTACTAAATGTGCTAATTACACAATCGTGTTTTATTGAAGCCCCAACGTGCCAGATTAAAAGTTAGATAATTGACAGGGAGCCACGGTGGCTAAGTGGTTAAGACGCTAGCTCGCTAGCCTGGACATCATGTGTTCGATTGCCATCAGGATTTTCCAGCATGGTTTCCCCTTGTCAGTGGTGCAGGATGGAGGGCCCGACAAGGACAGCTGTCGAGTCGTTTGGATGAGACAAAAAACTGAGGTCCCGTGTATACATTGGCATGCACGTTAAAGACCCCTTGGCAGTTGAAATTCGATTTAAGAGGCCATAGTGTCGCTGGCCAGACAAAATTTCCATCATAGCACACTGTATGGTATATGCCGTCTTCATTAGCCAAGTATAGGAGCAGAACAGTAGAACATTAAACCTCATTTCATTTCATTTCATTTGATTAGATACTAAAAACACAGATGGTGGCTTGTCGTGCATCCCAGCAGCAGCAAAGTCGTTGTTTCTGAATGATTGGCTGTAAACTCTCCAAGTTTTATTTTTATCGTTGTAATAACAAACTGTTCAGATTAAAAAAAACAAAACAAAATAGATCATTACAGCATGTTAAAAAAATAAATTACTTCAAAAAACCCCAAAAAACCTTTAAAATAATAATAAAAAATACAAAATAACAGTTTTTAATAAATTATGTGGTGTCCGGGTAGTACATGTATTTATCCATATTGTGTCAGCAAACTCTTCAGGCTTTTCCGTCAGGTTTTTTTTTCTTTTCCTTTTTGTTAAGATCACACTTTACGAGAGTTGTCGTCGTCCTCTACTTTTAATTTTTATTATTGACTTTTGTCAGAGTTTAATGATCAATAATTTTCATAAAAGCGTTTGAAATAATAATTATTGATTTACATGATGATATCTAATAATAATATTATTATAAATATTTTTGTTTCAGACCAGGACAATCCAGGTTCAGAGAGAAATGGCTGAAAGATATTATTGAAAACAAAGTGATGATGATGACAACTGTAGTGTTCTGAGTAAAATGTTGAAACCACAAAAAAAAACCCCTGATCAATTATTATTTAAACAGAATTACTGACTGTCATTATATATTTTAATCGACTGTCAATCGATAAAAAAACAAATCAGGGAAATATTAGTGTCAGATGTACTAATAAAGTATTAGAAAAGCAGTCCCAAATATGTTTTAATGTGTAAAACGTGAAAATTCATGTATTCAAGACTATTGAAAAACTATGTGAAGTTATAACCTTTTTGAAGAAGTAGAAATTTTGGGTTTCCATGTGGGGTTTGGCCAAACTTGATACTGTGTAAGTATGTGCCTTGAGTAACTCTATCTATTTACTTGCCGACGTTAAATGATCATTGTTATTATTGGGGGGGGGGGGGGAGTGGATGTCATTGAGATTCTCTGGTTGTATGTTACAAGGAATAGGGTCGCCTGTCCAACCTCGTGGGTTTTTCTCCGGGTCCTCCGGTTTCCTCCCACTGCTAAACACCCCTCTGTGCAAGCGAAATTATTGAAATAAATTGAACCATATGTTAGTCCCGAAATGACCAAGTTTGTGTCGAGTGGACGTTAAACCCATCTCTCTCTCTCTCTCTCTCTCCCCCCTTAAATCAGGGACGTAACCCTGTTAAAACAAATCTAGTGATCATTTGTGAATGGCCCAATATCTTGATTAGAAATTTTCAGATATGGTAAAGAGGCTATATCTGATCTTTGATTTACATAAATGTTCTGTCTGTCATATGTGGGACTGCCCCTTTAAACTATAAGCAGAATTTGAAAAGCGAAGATTATCATTAATAATTTATTGGAAATATTGTTTTGAATGTACATGTTATCACCAGTCTGTTAAATTCTTGTAAAAGGATTAAAGATATTGATTTTTATTCTGTCACGCTGGATTATTTTTATCAATGTAAAATCAGCAGCCAAATTCTGCTGTTGAACAACTTATCCATATTTCATTAGAGAAAACTTTTATATTATTTTTATCTCCATTTTATAAAACAAGCCTTGAAAGATATTTATCATTCTGGATCAATAACTCTTGTTTCTTTTATTTTTATACGAAACTTACCGAATTCAACCCAGATTTATAGATTAAATATTATTCAAGCTTCATGAATTCTTATATGGGGATCATAGTGTAACTGCCGTTTTATATGTAAATAAATATAATTTATAAACTGAACCAAGTTTTGTAGCTTTGATACCCAGATTTAAAGATTAAATATTATTCAAGCTTCATGAATTCTTTTATGGGGATCATAGTCTAACTGCCGTTTTATATGTAAATAAATATAATTTATAAACTGAACTAAGTTTAAATGGAAATCATATTGACATTGTCACTGAGCAAAACTCTTGAGCAAATCTCAATTAAAAACTTACTTGTTCAAACAATCTTACGTTGACTAGACATGTATATAGTTTATTGCCGTTAAAAACGCTTTGAGCATGCAAATGGATGGATTTGGTGCTCAAGAAATGGACATTATTATTATTATATATTTTCTGCTGTCTGACCTCGTGGGTTTTCTCCGGGTCCTCCGGTTTCCTCCCACTGCTAATGACCCCTCCGCGCAAGCGAATTATTGAAATAAAATTGAATCACATGTTAGTCCCGAAATGACCTATAGTTTTTGTTGAGTGGATGTTAAACCCCATTTCTATCTCTCCCTTCCATATTTTATGACCAGGAGGTCCGCGGTTTGTTTTCTCCATATTGAAGATACTGTTGGAGATACCAGTATACTCTTGTTTCACTGAATTAAACTGAACACCTCCTTAAAGATACATTATGGAAAATTAGATAAAGAGCTGGCAGTTCTCATTATAATAGTTAAAACAAGATAATGTAAAGGGAATATGCTGAAAATTTCAGTCAAATTGCTCCACTCTGAACTGAGATATTATCGATTCAATTTTAGGTCTAGTCTCAATCATCATTACTAAAGTTGGTACGAAAAAAATCATAGTCTTGATTATCCATTTTTGCATTTAATCATCAATGAGTGTTGAGCAGCAGATCGGATTTAATTTCCTGACCACTGATCAAAAATTAATCATTATACATCATTATCCAATTGGGTTGATTATTTTTCAACAGTGATTGAGAAATTAAACGCTTGTAAATTGGACACTCATTATCAAAATTGAATGGTCAGTTTTAAACTGGACACTAGTACAAATTAGATGATTTTTGGTGATTTTAAATGATTTTTACAAATTTTTAAACAAAGATTTGATATTGAATGAATGTGAAAGAAATTAGTGCTTAATACACAAGATTAAATGATATCCGGGTTACAGTGTTTAGTTCAATATGGTTTTAGCTGAATTCATATAGCTAACAGACTATGCAGAAAGCACTAACTGAACAGTAAAAACACAGAGTAAAGCAGACATTTTAAAATGTCAACATTAATGTCACCTTCATGTCACTAAAAGATTATTACTGTCAGTCTTGTAATAATCAATAATAAAGGAGAACTGATGATTTATTCAGTTCAGGTAAAAAATAATTAGTGTTAATCATAGGTAAACTTGTAATCAAATAACTTCAGGGTACATAATGTTACATGATACCATACTCCTTGCAGTGTTTCAATTCATTAGAGAGAGAATTCTCCGGCCATTGCTTCAGGAATATGAATAATACTTGAAACACAGATATAGCAATATGATCGGGTTGAATTGGGTACATAGAATGTGTTTTAATTATTCAGAGTAGATTGAGTTGACACAGTTTGTTTAATATGAATGGATCAATGAGAAGAGAAAAATGGGGTTTACCAGACACTCAACCCAAACTAGGTTATTTTGGAATTGACATAATACATTTTTATACGTCCACATTATGAATGTGGACGTATTATACCGTCACCCCTGTGTGTGTGTGTGTGTGGGTTGCCTACAGGGCGCAATTCTTAATGGATTATCTTGAAACTTTGTATACTTATTCCCGATACCACAAGGATCACCCCTATTGTTTTTGGTGAATACCTAACCTGTCCAACCTCGTGGGTTTTCTCCTGGTTCTCTAGTTTCCTACCACTGCTAATTATTGAAATAAAACTGAACCTTGTTAGTCCCGAAATGATCTGGTTTGTTTCGAGTGGATGTTAAACCCCATTTCTCTCTCTCACTGATCACCCAATCCCCACCCCCCACTATGAGCAAGAGCAAAATTTGTATCATTTATTGCACGTTTGTTTGTCTCAATAAGGGATCAGTGTTGATACCCTAGTCAACCTTATTTCCTGTTCCTGTTTAATATTTCCAAAACTTAATGGAAACACTCAACTGTATGCTGATATGAATCGGTCACCAAGAGTTTTTACTAAGACTATGAAGTGGAAGGGTTTAACGTCTTGTTTAAACTTTACTTTATGATTAAACACTTTAATTTTATTGTCAGATTTCCAATGCGAGAGGGAGGGGCGGAATTTTGCCTGTAAAGCGGCATTTCTATCTCTTTGACTAATTCCAACTGCCATGGGATATTTTACATAACACTACTAATTTTTTTGTATCATCTAACCAGCTTTTACTTATCAGCTCTGCAGAAGCCACCACTAATTTGTGTGTCCCCGGTGTCCTAAACACACAATCACCATACCCCACCCCACCCACCCCCACCCCAAGACATTGTACATTTAGACTAAAAATGAAATGGGGTTTAACGTCCTACTGTTCTGCTCCTAAACTGGGCTAATGAAGACAGGCATGCACCATACGGCCTACTCTTATATCGAATTCCAACTGCCAAGGGATCTTTTACGTGCACGCCAATGTGTACACGGAACCTCGGTTTTTCGTCCCATCCGAACGACTAGACAGCTGTCCTTGTCAGGCCCTCCGTCCTGCATCACTGACAAGGGGAAACCACGCTGGAAAATCTGGATGAACTTTCTCGGCCAATGCTGGGATCGAACACCCGACCTCCAGGCTAGTGAGCCAGCGTCTTACCCACTTAGCCACGTGATCCCCATTTAGACTAAAAGATATAACGCTGCCATATAGAAAACTATATTAAATTTAAATCTGAATAAATTATAGAGTTTTATTATTCAAGTACAGATTAATATATACAAATAAATCTCTAAATAATAACAGACCAATTTATTACATTCAATGACTGAAATATAATTTAATATTGTTCTAGTATCACAGTTCGCTTAATAAATAATCAAGTCTAATGATTTTAAAGAGCTAAATGGTTCACAATATTCTAAGAATTTTCACAACAGGTAATGTTTTAACAGTACCAATATTTGATTTCTATGGTAACTCAGTGATTCTCAACCAATGTGCCGCGAAATTTTGAACAGCACACTATGAAAATTTCTCACTAAAGAAGTCAGCTATTTGACTGATGAAATTCGAAACACTGTAATAAAGTTAAAAGTAAGTTCATAGCTGTGTTTTTCTATATTTAGTTTGAGTCATTCTATGTATCTATGACTAGTCTCGGTCTACAGTTGTATTCCGTCTATGACTTGCTATGTTTTTATTTTGCAAAATTCAATTATTTTTCACATATATTTAGTCAGGTGTGCCGCTGGCACAAAAAGGTTGAGAACCACTGTGATAACTGAATCTAGGCAGATATCATTTTCTACAGAAAACATTAATATGATTATTTGAAAGAATACAATATCAAGATTTGTCTGACTGGAAAACTAATATTTAATTAGACACTTTGAAATTCCCACCACCTAGAACCAAAAATCAAACCTGCCTTAACTGAAAAGTCGTTATAAGATTTAAAATTTAAGTCAACACAACTTAGTGGTGCTGTTATATGTGTAATATAACGTGAAGTCAGGAAAAAAATATTGCATGAAAAAAATAGAATTATTGACAGTGAGTGATATTAAGGCTTATATCAAATATATATAAATAGGTGGACAAAATAGATATTACAGAATATTCCACTTAATTGCATGGCGTAAAATTAAATGGATATCTCATGTCTAACAGAAGGATGAAATATTACGGTTCACAATATATATGACGATACATACAGCACTCTTTCATTAAACAGACTCTTTGCTTTCAAACCATGTAGGGGGGTTGGATGGCCGAATGGTTGGCTCGTGCGTGCTGTATCAACTGGTCTGGTTTCGATTCCCCGGTTGTACGTGACAAGGAGAAGGGTCGCTTGGCCAACTTCGTGAGTTTTCTCTGGGTCCTTCAATTTCCTCTGACTGCTAAAGACCCTATGTGCAAGCAAATTATTGAAATAAAATTAAACCATATGTTAGTCCCGAAATGACCTAGTTTATATGAGTGGACGTTAAGCCCCATTTCTCTCTCTCTCTCTCTCAAACCATGTATAATGCCTTAACTATTCTTATTGTAATTTATATAATACTCAGTCTTTCGGATGACATCTAATCCAATCTTGTCCATCTGAATAACGTTACTCGCCGACTGATTGACGTTCCAATCAACAATTTCTGGGATGATAAAACTTATGTCTGATTGGCTACAATTACCTTCAGGTCATTTGGGGTTAAATAAAGTCTCTGGTTTGATTGACATGATATCCAATTAATAAGAAAAGCAATTAAATGGAATAAATTGTATAATTAATACTGATCTCATCTAGTTAATTATACAGCTAACAACGAACTGTTACTCGGGCAGTCCTTAACATATAAGACACGCTTTCACTCTCGACTCACATCGACTTATCTTTGGGGGAGTCATTAAATACGCCCGCTAATTAGCTAAAGCACTCTACTAAATATTGTCTCATTATCGCTATTAAAATGTCTGGAGATGGCCAAAACTGTCAAATATGCGACATTTTTAAATTGGAATTACTGGAGAGCAAATAGCCAAGGAGGGAGAAAAAAAGGGGTTTGTAAAAACTGATCAAACTGACGAAAATTCGTGGAACATATAAATGGCATAATAAAGAGAATATGAAACAAAACGTAGAATTACTCTAGCAATACAATTAAGAATTTTTTTTTATGGGAGCTTTTTTTGCAATTTTTAAATTGGTGGGCGTTTTTTATGGCTCGCGCAAAATTTCGTAAACGTGAAGGACTGCCCTGGGGTATTATACATTTCAATTAAATAAATAAATAATACAACATTGTACTGATAAAACTAACTTAAACCCTGGCGTATCAGACAATTCAGTTAAAAAAATAAATTAACCTAGAGCCTATATGTTCATATTTGATGATTTATTCGAATTCTGTTCTTTAAGCATGAAAAATCAACTCAATATGATCCCATGTGCTAGAGACAGACGGATCTTTATAGTAAAATATGGTCACGATGTCTACAACATGTCTCAGCCACCATCTTTTATCAATTGCAACTTTATAAAGTGCCAGGCTTGTTCTATGATTTGACCTCACACCATCTTTTTTGAAAAATCTTTAACTGAAGTCTGCTACGAAATTTGTATGGAGTTGTATCTGTGAAACTTCACTGTTTCATGTAGAACTTCATCTCCCAACGAAATTTTTTTAAAGAATTCGAAACTAGGAGGATGAGTATACATGACATATCACATGATTTCTATACATTAAAGCACAATCTTGTTATATAATATCATTCAAATAGTAAACTCGCAAATCTTTCTATGAATTTAGTAAACGTCTGGAGTGTACATCCTTTAGAATGGCCATGTTTTTTCTACATGGTAATTAGGAGCATTATCATGTTCAACTTTATAATCACCCAGAGGTTGTTTTTTTAGAATAAAGACACAATGACTTGTTCAATAACTGGAAATTATCATTTAATAATTTCAAGAGCTGAGGTAGGAGATACTTATATCACTTTTAAGTAAAAAAGAGGGGGGTGGGGGTATTACAGTTCTAAAAGGTAGATACTGCTTATTACAGTTCAAAATATCATTTTTAAGTAAAAAAATAAAAGGTAGGGGGTGCTTATTACGGTTTCAAGAAACACGATCAGGTGGGTTGCTTATAGCAGAAGGTTATTTATAATCTCGAATATGGTAGCTTTAAGCAGAGGTTGCTTATTGCAGCAGGTGATTTATAATCTTGAATATGGCAGCTTTAAGTAGTGGTGGATATGGTAGTCAATGGTAACAGGCACATATTGGAGCCATGTCGTTAAGGTATTACCTTTATGTTAAATATATTACATGGTAAATTACGAATAGACAATCATTTCCATGGTAACACGTTAAAACTAATATTGTGCTTTTAATGATCAATAAATTATGTTAATAATTAATTAATTAATGAATTTAAAAAATGAATGACGTTTATTTGGTTTCTTCATCTGTTTCTTTCTTGTCATCTGGCTTCTTTTCATTGGTTGATTTTTCTTCACTAGATCCTTTTGTATTTTTGTTTTGTTTTGATTCGCTGGGACTTTCGCTCACTGACTGGTTAGATCTCGTTGATTTTCGACTGCGAATGGATTGTCGACTTTTAGCCCTGTTGCTCTTTTTGTTATCCTGAAATACATACATGAAATGAATTTACAAACGTACAAATGTTTTAGCTCTGTCACCCAGAGCATCTCTATGCATTTCCGCTGCTAAGACTAATGGGCGAGGAACAGTAGGCATAGGGCCTACTATCAGCACAAAAAGAGTGTGACTTTATCTACTTTTATTTTCATGTGATACAAGGCTGTCTTTGATACTGATCTTTTTATAGCTCAGTTATCTTTGTGAAATCAAAAATAACAGGTTATGTTTTCATGAACTTACATGAATATTACACAGGCCTTTTCGAAATTATAAAGTTCACTTTATTATGAGAGAGAGAGAGAGAGAGAGAGAGAGAGAGACTAGGTTCAATTTTATTTCAATTATTTGCTTGCGCATAGGGGTCTTTTGCAGTGGGAGGACCTGGATCAAACCCACAAGGTAGAACAGGTGTCCCTACTCCTTGTCAGTGGGAGGAAACCAGTGGACTCAGAGAAAACCCACGATGTTGGACAGGCGACCCAACTACTTAGCAGGGAATCAAAACCAATACTTGACGATGTCAAACCACCCAGCCCTTACACATTATTATAGTTTATTTATATATTACCGTACTATTTCAGATCCTTTAGGACCTCTTTACATATTCAATGTCAAGGCCATGTCGATGATGCATGTTTATATTTGATTAACCAGACACTTTGTGTGTTTATATGATTTGTGTTGGAGATTGAGAATAAAGATGGCACCTTAAAGATTGATAGTATGTTCTTCTTCCTATAAACCCCTGGTATGTGGCTGGCTCCTTTGCTACATCCCCACTTAAAAGGGTAGCCACGTTACAGCATTCGACCAACCAACCCCCCTCGATGAAAGGTAGCCGTGTTACAGTATTCGACCAACCAACCCTCCTCGATGAAGCAAATGAAAATAGTTCTCTTACCTTCACCCACCATTCTTCTGGGAAACTTGAAATATTATTCATAAAAGCCTGATTTTTCTTCCAGTCCTGGTCCCATTTTTTAGCGCTGTATTCTGGTTGTCGTGACGTTATTCTGCGTAAAATCTCCTGGTTGTCCTTGGCTACTCGTAATAATTCTCTCTGACGTTTTTCACGATTTAAACTAAAAAAATAAATTACAATAAAATATAGAATTTAATCCTCAATATCAGTCACAAAAAATCCAGTCTGATTAAAACACAGATCGTTTTTTTATAGTTCAAAATTTCGTTTTACTTTACTACACTAGGATCTGGAAGAGTTGTTATTTAACTCGTGTTCTGGTTAATGTGAGGGTTTATCCAATGAAACAGTCAAATTGCTCCACTCTGAACGATTGAATTAGCGATTGAATTTTAGGCCTAGCCTCGATCTTTCGTTTTTTCGTTTAATCATCAATGAGCTTTGAGCAGCAGATCAGATTGAATTTCAGTGAAAATCGGACACATAAGATGGCATCGAGAGTTGATTATGGTCTGGATAAGTTAACAAATATCTAATTAATAATTTATGTAACATTTAAGGCCTAAAAAAAGACCTGCAATAGACAGATTTAGCTCTTGTATAATGTATGTTTAACTAAAAGATTTGATCATCAATAATTCTCAGTAATCAATATCATAAATCTCGGTTGAAAGACTTGAGAAGATAATTTCTTTTCACACTAAAATACTAGCTAACCTTTGATATTCGTAGTTATTTTTATTATCAACACGTCCTCGTGTTCTCATGATGTACGCCATTTTCTCCAACAAGATACGATTATCTCTTTCTATTGTCGTTAACCTCTCTTCCTCCAACTAAAAATAAAATACACGCAAATTATTTCATGTTGGACTAAAACTGCTCGCTAATGGATCCCAGAGGACATTACCGTATCCTTCTCTTATAGTGTTGATATATGTATTACAGCAATACTTAAAATCTTAACTGTCCAAACTCGTGGCTTTTCGTCAGGTCCCACTGCTAAAGATCCCTAGGCGCAAGCGAATTATTGAAAAAAAAAAGAACCATATGTTAGTCTCGAAATGACCTAGTTTGTGTCGAGTAGACGATAAAGCCAATTTATCTCTCTCTTTAAAATCTAAATGAAAGCATAATGTCAACTTGAAAGAACTTTTCAAAAGATGGTTCCACAGAGAATGGATATTTTGTTGAGTGAAATAATTTGAAGACTACATGTATATTTCTTAAAATTATTCCAATAATTTGCTTCCTTGTAGGGGTCTTTAGGAGTGGGAGGAAACCAGAGGACCCGGAGAAAGCCCACGATGTTGGACAGGTGACCCTACTCCTTGTCACGTACAACCGGGGAATCGGAACCACACCACTCGAATCAATGACAGATCGTATGATTCAGCGCACACATGCTAACCATTCGACCATCCCCCAACCCCCCCTAAAAGAAACAGTCCACGACAATTATAACCATATTCATTCAAATGCCACTAGGTGAATTGGAAAAGATAAAAAAGATTTGGTTTACGAAAATGCCATCCTTTTCCAACTTGGGGATTCTATAATATTGAAAGGTAATAATGAAAATTTACCTGGAATTTTTTAAGTTTAAGATGAAGATGCATGTAAGTTGGTGGAGCTTTTGTATCAACAATAGATTGAACATCTTTCACCTGTAATTAAAAATCAGAACAAAGGTTAAATATCTTGTATAGGATACATTCAATGGTAGTATCAATAGACAATATGTACGGGTTAACCCTTAACCGGTCAACGTCATTTTGAGGTCATGACGTCAAGTGGTCAGGCTAAATAAAGGCCGACGTGAAATATTTTGTATGCCTATTTCAATCGACTACTGCCGAATAATTATAAGTGATAGACTCTTGACACCAATAAAAAAGTTGCTGGGGATAAGTTGATCTATAATTTGCAAATCATTCTAAATCCTTTTCATCAGAAATATCGTCTTCAGAATCGGTGTCATCGATATAATCCGAGTCGGAATAATTCATAAGTATTTCAACCACTTCGAAAGTCTTTAACGTTCCCGACATCGTTTAATTACGTTTTTCGTCAAAACATGTTGAACAAAGAAGTGTTTTTCTCAATGCCCTTGACAAGACAAGTTCCTGTCTGACACGCATGTGTGGCCATATCAATTAAATACGAAACTAAATACTCAAATGCGGCTTATAAAAAAGGTTCTTGCTGTGGTCGACTTTAGTTGACCGTGACCACTTAGCAGCATAACGTTGTGGTGATTATAGTCGACAATGACCGGTTAAGAGTTAAATATCTTTAACAATCTGATTCAAATACAGATCTATATTTCGTTTCGTTTTGGTTTTTTTTTTATACTTTCGATGGCCTACACTACATGAAGATCTGACAAGTTGTTGTGAAAGGTTCCGTTAGAGGTCATACAAGTGACTTTTGATTCTATGACTTCACACAGTTTCAATGTGGTTTTTAACATTATAATCAACCAGTGTCACACATAATGCTACGAATCGACTCGAGCATCTTCCACACAGCCCAATATTACCTTGGGGCACTTGGAGGGACCCTTCCTCCTCTACGCCCTCCGCCACACACACACATCTGTAAATATTATATTTTGGGTGGGGGGGGGGTGTGGACGGGATCTTGTTCCTCATGCCAAATCATTGGTCACCATGCCCCTGCCAGTCTGCCACCCTTTAAACAACTTTAGTATTAAAGTTAGTGTTTGATTTTTGTAAATTTAGAAAGCCATTATTCTGTATACAATACTTAAAGAAAATCCTGTGTACAAATAATGTTGACTTAACAAAGATAACATCTCTCACTCTTTAAACGGTACTATGTAATTATAATAATCTTTAAGAGGCATTTAGTAACTGGGTAGAGCAATACACAAAAAACACATACTTATGGAAAAACAGCTACTTATTTATTTGGGCGACGTTTCGAAGAGTATTCTCTCAACGTTATCAAGCTAATACAGTAATACAAGAATAATGAGATCAATATATACAGAAAACCGTAACAACAATTCATGAAACCATACAGGACAACAACAAGATCAAAGGGGTTTATTCTACAAAATGAGGCGTAGACCTTTGGGGATGATGTTGTTGTCTCTGCATCGCATCAGGAATGTGAGGTTACACTTCGTCTTAACATATTTTCCCTCTAACCTGTTGACTGTATTGATAGAGGTTACTGCCACATCTCCATATTGATGGCGATAATAATGTTTAAGAGGCATTTAGTAACTGGGTAGAGCAATACACAAAAAACACATACTTATGGAAAAACAGAGACAACAACATCATCCCCAAAGGTCTACGCCTCATTTTGTAGAATAAACCCCTTTGATCTTGTTGTTGTCCTGTATGGTTTCATGAATTGTTGTTACGGTTTTCTGTATATATTGATCTCATTATTCTTGTATTACTGTATTAGCTTGATAACGTTGAGAGAATACTCTTCGAAACGTCGCCCAAATAAATAAGTAGCTGTTTTTCCATAAGTATGTGTTTTTTGTGTATGTAATTATAGAGATTTTTACGAGCCAGTAGTCTGATAGACATATAAAACAGCTAGATAAACATTACAACACAAGTCACTTAACTACCAAAACACAACATTTAAATATTGATTTAACATAATTGTTATAGTTTTTCTAAAATAAATGTTAGATGAAAAACATGGCTTTTGTGTGGAATTACTGGCTTTTAAATGGGAGAGAGTGAGGAATGGAGTTTAACATCCACTCATCACAAACTAGGTTATTTTGAGACTAACATATGGTTCAATTTTATTTCAATAATTCAATTGCGTGTAGGGGGTCTTTAGAAGTGGGAGGAAACCGGAGGACCCAGAGAAAACCCACGAGGTTGGACAGGTGATCAAATACAACTGGCAAATCGAAACCATACCAGTTGACTCAATGACAGACCTTATGATACACGCACTAACCATTCAGCCATCCAACATCCAGCTTTTAAGTGGATTTGTTTTTAAAAAGTGCCCCGCTGGAACACTGGCATTGAAAAAATGGCACAGATAAAAAAGAATACTCTAAACCTTTTTAGCTGTGCCATTATTACTGTGCATCGAAAGTTTTAGCTGTACATCGATGTGCATCGAAAGTTTTAGCTGTGCCATTATTGCTGTGCATTGAAAGCTTATAAGCCATTTCGCATAACTGTATTGTGTTCATAATAAATATATCCAACATTTGAAAACCATTCATCCAAGTTTTGAATTGTTTACAAGAAACGCAAGTCCAACCCTTTTCAGCCATGCCGTTATATAACAAACTATTTAATATGATCATGTTGTGTTCATAATAAAACATTTCTAACAACTGAAAGCCATTTAAACGAATCAATATTTGTTTACAATTATCATATAATCTCTATAAATATTATTATAAGTGGTCAGGTCTACGATCATATCAAGGTAAATAACTTACCTATATACCTGTCATTTACCTTTTAAAGGTAAGTTTTTAAGGTAAATCTTACGGATCATAACAAGTAAAACTTGACCAGGTAAAATGTGGGGCTACAAGGGGTCTTCAACAGTTGTTGGTGATGTGCTACATGCATTGGCCGAGAAAGTTCAATGGGATTTTCTGGCGTGGTTTCCCCTTGTCAGTGGTGTAGGACGGAGGGCCTGACAAGAAAAGCTTTCTAGTTGTTCGGATGGTTAGAAAAACCGAGGTCCTGTGTATACATTGGCGTGCAGTAAAACATCCCTTGACAGTTGCAATTTGATATAATAGTAGGCCATAGTGCCGCTGCCCGGACAAAATTTCCCACATAGGCATATGCCCGTCTTCATTCGCCCAGTCGGAGCAGAACAGTAGGACATTAAACCCCATTTCATTTCATTTCCAATACTACAGGTACATAACGATACTGTATAAAGAGGTAAAAAAAGTAATTTCCAACTGGATGTGATTTAATCACACCATTTTATGGAGAATGTTCAGATTAGATTGTATGCATGAGTCGTGAAAACTTATTTGTGGTTTTGCAGGAGTTTAACAAACACCTTTTGAAATGTCATTTTCAAAATGACATTTATTTAAAATTAGATTTATTTTCTAGGTGAGAGTGATAAAGCCCCTTTAAATAAACTGTGTATTTTTTTTTATTTTGTGAAATACAGGTATATTTATTGGGTTAACTTGCCAAAGTGTACAAACAGTACCAAGCACCCAAGACCTTTGAAATGTCTATTTGATCAGTGTGATGTACTGCTATTTGATGACAATTAATACACTATACCCCCCACGAGTGAATGCAGGTGTTATTAGTCAGAGAAATGATTACCTATGAATAAGATAAATACAGGTAATCCTCTGTACACCTTCCTACCACATGGTAGATAGAATAAAGCTTTAATGTTAGGGTTAGGTTCCCACTGTCGTACGATGCGTGTACGCGATCTGCTATGTTTTGTTCGATCAACACGATTGGTACGACTGACCTCAATATATGAGAAGACCTGATAGGATCACTACAATTACTCCACGATTTCAATTGTAGCGCGACTTGTGATAGTCTGAACCTAGCATAAACTGATGGAAAATCACAATGAAGTAAAAGAAATCGTAAAAATTGTAATCAAATAATCTGGCCACACTATTCAAGCATTTACAGGGGGTGGGGGGGAGAGTTGAATGGCCGAATGGTTAGCATGTACGCGTTGTATCATAAGACCTGTCATTGAGTCAACTGGCGGGGTTTTGATTCCCCGGTTGTACGGTTTCCTCCCACTGCTAAAGACCCCTACACATAAGCGAATTATTGAAATAAAAATGCACTGTGTGTTAGTCCCGAAATGACTTTGTTTGTGTTGAGTGGACATTAAACACCATTTCTCTCTGTCTCAAGCACTTACAAGTGTTTTTTAATTCTATTTCCGTCAACTCATCCTACTTTATCTTGTACAATTATACAGCCAACGATTTTTATTTGATCACCACTCATGTTGCGTATTAGATTCAGTGCTGTCAACTGAAACGAAGAATGCTATCGTGTATAAACGTCAGAATTTAAGCCTGATGTTCCTTATAAAACACCACTATAATGTAAATTAAATTTCATATCATCAAATAAATAGTTTTCTTCATAGTAATGAAATTATAGTTTGAGGGAGGTATATTTTGTTTGGAATTACAACAGTGTAGCTAGTACTGGTATCGATTTAAGCTTTAGATCTTTATTACATCATCAATAGATCACACACTTCAAAATCAATATAATTATTACATGTTATACAACTGATTCAACATCTTCTATATATAATTTTAACACAGAGATTATTGCAACGATAGATGCGTAATGAAGATTTTAAAAAATGGAAGTGACGATCGCAAAAGGAAAACATGACAAAAAGAAATTGCCAATGTGTTTTTTTTTTGTTTAGATCACTATTTTTTTTTATTGTAGGCGATCTGAAAGTCTATATTCACCATCTAGTTTGTATTTCAGGCCTTTAAAGCCACAAGATAAACATTTAGAGAATTTAAAAGCCTAATATCCATCATAATATATTTCAATTTCATGTTTTGGAGGGGAGGGGGGAGTGCTGTCAATCACCGGTTAAAATTGCAAAAATCTGATATTCTACCACTCTAATACATGTAATGATTAAATTATAAGTAGACAAA